TACGAGTCAGGTGAGAAGCTGCCCATACAACTTTCGGACAGGACGCATCAGTAATGAAGTGTTGCCAATTGATAGCCATCATTGGTTCCCATGGCCGTTTGACATGCTTTCCTAGATACTCTGTACCTGTGACTAAAAGATGGACATTTTAAACTTACAGTTTGCTAAAGTTGTATTGTAATTCAGGCATTAAGATATTATTGTATAGCAGTAAATGTCAGTTAAACACAGTCTTTCGCGACCAATATCCATAAGAGGTTTTTTTGGGTTAGATATAAATGTGTCGTTAAACCCACCACCACCCGACACAATCAATTAGTAAGTTGTCACTGGGGGGGTGGGTTAATGCATTTTTTGTAATTTACATGTATGCATACATTGTTATTTATATACATACCTTAATTGCCCCCACCCCTCTGGTCTTCGCACCTGATTGGGTCACAGGTGACGACATAACATTTATCCCTCTAAGACTGAAGCAGGGGGATTTCTCCATAACTATGGCTGTCGCCTGATGATGCTGGTTGCAATCACCGGCAAAACGTACTCGAATTGTAGATGTTGTGGGTTTACTCTCCAACACACCGGTGTGCTGAACTAGGAACGAATTGGCATGTTTTGTTGACGTGGCAAACCTTACTAATTGGCTGTCGGGTGATGGTGGGTTTAACGACACATTTATATTTTTGATTTAAAGCTTTCGTGACTGCAGGGATTCATATTCTTGGTTCTTTCGGTAAAGTCACGTAGAAGGGAAGCAATAAAATAATAAAAATATAAAACAATAAAATTCTCACGACGTTTCGACTGCAACACAAGCAATCATCATCAGGTGTGAAAACCACAGCAAGAAATTTTGAAAAAAGTGGAGTTTTTTTAACGTTAGCACCACGGAGAGCGGTTTTGCAGTTATTCAGATGGACGAGTCCATCTATGTTCGGAAAAGAGGAGGGGGGAGACGAAAATAATGGATGCGGTCTGAAAGCCACCGTAAGCGTGAACAATTAAGACCCGAAATGGTTTATCAAATCCTTCCAATGATTGCTAAGCCAGAATCCATCTTCTCGGTTGAAATTGTCTCCTTGTTTGTATATGTGGATAGCCTTATGAACACATTTATATTTACGCGATCTAACCCAAAACACTCTATTTTGTAGTAAATGTGCTTGCATGGGGTTGATTTGAAGCATTCGTGACTGCAGGAATTCATGCGCTTCAGTTCTTTCGGAAAAGTCACGTAGGTAGAAAAAATACTAGATCACGACGTTTCGATCGCCACACAAGCAGCAACCGTCTTTAGGTGAGAGAGAAGACGGCTGCTGGGGTTGACAGTTTAGCTCACGCAGAAGAATGTTCATGAAGCAGCAGCATGCTACTCAGGTACGTCATCTGCTGTAAAAACATGCTAAGCACAATGTCATGTTTTTAGAAGCAGGCCATTGTGTGTTTTAAAACCTACGTGTTAAATTGAAACAAGAGTGCTTGCAGAGACACAACCGACACATCCAACCACGCGTTTTTTTCTGGACACAAGAACACGACATGGTAAGAGTAATGTCGAACCCCTTTGTTAAGTCAACTGTTGGATCGAGGCCTTCCCACACAGGTGAACCCAGTGTTAGAGTGTTCTGGGCACTGTGCTTATAAACCAAACAACCTGAGTTCCATTCCTGGCTGTGGCTAACTTCAGTGGCGAATGATGTCTGAACTCATCCTCAGCCCTCCCAGCATAGTGAACTATGGACAAATATCTACAATGGCAGAGTTTCGGAAGGCCTCAATCCAACATGGCTCACAATCTTCTGGGTATGAGCCAAGTGCTCTACCACTGCTCCTATTTGACCAATGAAGAGAAAAATACATGATTGAATACAAATAAGATAATGGTTAATAATAAATAAGCTATTCTCCCTGCATTGAAAAGTGAAACAAGCAACCTTGTTTATGATGCAGTGGGTGTTGCTGAGTTGCCTTTTACTCATGGAATGTAAAAATAAATCGCGAATGAGACGTAACGTAGCCACGGTAAAACAACCTCAAATACCGGTATTCCAAACTAAATATTAATAATGTCAGCCATGAGCAGGTATTGCATTGTTACAAGTACTTCTAAAGGGAAGGTTCTCACATACCTTTAGTAACCTATCTCACACAGATCGTAGCGACCAAACGAACAATGCAATACATACAGGCAGGGCTCGTATACAATTTCAGTTATATTTGTCGTATTTGTAAAATGGAGCTGAAAGCTTTTTTTTGTTAACTATTCAATGCAGTGACCGCAGGAGAAGCTTCCACTCTCAACGCAAAAACCCGCAAGCAAACAATGCGAGACCAAAGCTATAACACACTAAAACCAAGACGCAAAGGACGCATTCCGAATTTGCTCTTGGCATTGCGACAGCCGCGCACGTGTGAACAATACCTTGCATGCCCCGTATGGGACGTGTTTGATAAGTCACGTGTTGGCATTTATGGAATGTAACTGAAGTTGAGTAGACTTTGTGAAATCATTTGAGTGGCACTTGAGAAAAGTCAACATACTCATTGTTTAAATATATAACGACAAACTATATCAATGTAGGTCTCGCTCTACCGTGTTTGACCAGACAAACAATGGCAGTATTTATTAATGAATAAGCATTAGTTTAGTCTATGGTTTATAATTATATTCTGTCAACTACTACTACTTCAGTTAAATTAATTATTATCGTTGTTTTGGAGAATATAAATACATTAAACAAGCAATGTCTCCTTCACACATCCGTCTTTTCACGTGAAAAAAAGATTTTAACTGGTGGATTATATAAGCATGCATTTATTTTATGGATATATGGAGAGGTTATGTAATTATTCTTTCTACTGCTAAATGACCTAAATCAACACACTACTGCAGTTAGTTTATTATAACCACATATGCACTGGATTCAAATACATTGTCAATGGGTATTTAATGAATGCATATATTTTGTTCCTTATCCATTACCGCTAAACATGGCTATATGATCTAAATTCATAAAAATATAAATGCATAAAGATTGGACGCCAAGAAAAACTTAGTTTTTGTATTCTTAATTCATGCAAGGTCATTCACTCTTTTGCTCTCGAAATGGTGATCATTACCCCATTACTACTTGCAACTTATTGGAAAATGCTCTTCATCTAAGGAAATTAAACTTCACAAAAAGTCAAAAATCCCCATTTGACTTACACAAACTGGACTGGCAACTGAAGTCAGCGAGCAGCAACTAGAGCATAGTATTGGTCGGTACCTAGGATGAAGAGTGGCCGTCACAATGGACCACTGTCTTCGACTCCCCCATTACTTATATTTACACAGTCTATCACTGAATAATTTAATACTGAGTCAAATTTTAGGACTGGGTCACCCCAGGATAGGTACTGCAATTGCCCTTGATGATGACGGCACCTGGCCGCTTTAGGAATCGTAGCGAAATGTGTGAACAATTGCACAACCGTTTCCCACGGAAATTGATCTGACGCAATTTTCTTGGGGAAAGGCTGTTTCACAATGTGCACAGAGCCCCGTAAATGTACCTTCTTTGCACAAGGTGCACAAACGACAGTTAGTAATGTAGCATGTGTTTAGCGAAAAACATGGGCCCTGGTAATACAATACTGTTTTGCGCTGTGATTGAGATTTTTTTGTTGCTATCAAAGTAATTTTTTACAAAATGTGGAAATTAAAAGAGGCGTTCTGCTTCTTGAATTAAATACTGAATGTCGTGGTACAGAATGAGCGAAAGAAGCGATCACATTTCACTGTGAAAGAAGCCTCTATTTTAGGGAGTAACCCAATCATGTGTGAATTGCATGTGAAATTGCCTGAAAAGTTCAGTTCGTTTAGGCACATAATGGAGCAAAAAAACAGTGCAAATGTTGGGTAGAAATTTCTTTAATACACATTTAGATTGCTATGTAATTTAATCACTTTAAAAGTGTACTATAATGTTGAACGAGAGGCACCTCTTGGAAATAATAGCAATAAAACTCAACTCAATACAACTGCAGTAGTCGTGCGATAACTGTGCTGTGGCACAGAACAAAAACACGACTGTTTTAATATTGAGGTATATTATTATTATGCTATACTTTGAAATGTCAACTCTTCCAAATGTCAGTGAAAAAGAACAATTGTGTTTATGTGACACACAAAAATCTAAGTTCGCATTTGTCTCTACAAATAATGCTTGATATAAGCAGTTAATTTACTTTAAATCTGCACATTTTGCAGTGAACTTGCTTTTGGAATACATCATGTCTTCACACCTCAACTGGGTGAACGTATTGCCACTTGGAACAAATCAATGCACCCATGTATTGCAAACATTTTCTTTGGAGCTTATCCATGTTAGAATCACACGGGCATACCACGTTTCGCTATCAAAACATTAGACTTTTTGTGCAGTTTGGAGACTTAAAAAAATATTCCATTACAGTATTACATTTTTCTACCAATAGAGCAGTCACGTTTTACGTTTTACACCGTGTATGAAATGCACTCAGTTATGTTTCTATTCTTGCACTTGGCAGCAGTATGTTGAGCTAGATGCCACTAGATGCCAATGTCTGCTGCTAACCGCGAGAGGGTTTCAGGATAGAGAGTTCGTGTAGTTTTGCTATTCCTCCATTGAACGAGCGCAGACTACAGTGGTTTACTACATGGTCCATAGTTTGGGTTGCATGGCCACAATTGCACTTATGTGCCATGAATTTTCCTTTCAGTACTCATCAACCTAATGTTATGATGCGGTTGATGGTTACAAGTGTTTTCGAGGAATGTCAAAACCAGGAGGCGCAATGGTTGGGTCTCAAATGAACTGTAGCCTTTCTGCTGTAGCCCACCTATCACAAGTTTTCGTGTTACCTTAAACACAACTAATACCGTCATCTGGGCGAAATGTATGTTGTGAATACGAATTCAGATACGATCAGTAGAACTCAGTTATGTTAAAAGCAATACATTCAGAAACAGCCAGCAGAATCCAATAATTTTATTATTATAATTATACAAGAATCACATGACTGAAATAGATGTTTAAAAAAATTATCACAATAATGGATGCCACATTTTGAAAGTAAAGTTTAATTTGCTGACGTGATAATGTGTGTGTTGTGTAATTTTCTTTAAAAAACATTAAGTTGCAAGATATGTAATGTTGTCCATTTCCGTGTGTGTATTTGTGTAAGCTTATCATAAATTGTTAAGTGGAGAGGCCGCGCTTTCAGAATATTTATTTGAAGTTGTGGTTGTTACGTTTTATAGAGTTTAAGAATGTATACAATACGAATAAATCCTATATGGAACATTTCAAAGTGAGAGGTGTGTTGTAAGAGAAATACATGCATGTTATTACACTGACATAAATATAAACATTAACACAATATGACACGTTATTTAGAACAAGAAAATACTCAGGCACTTTCTGCAGTTATCAAAAGGAATCCTGGTCTCCACAATGTATGCAATTTTTATATGCTATCCATGTGAAACAGAATATTTTTAGGCACGGATACATATAGTATCCTGTAAAATCGTCACCATTATGAAGTCATGATCTGTTCACTACTGCGTGAGTGATGAGATTGGCTCACGTGCATGAGTGGCATGGATTGTGGCATCGGGGAACTGTGGGAAATGGTAGCGGCAAAGAGAGGCCTTCATTCAGCAGTGGATAGAACATGGATGCTGCTGATGATTACTTGAGGTTTATGCTTTCTCTCCGCCTTATCTATTGTCTTTCCATTCGTGTTAGTCCAAACGTAACCAGCTTAAGACAATGGCGTCAATAATTCGGAAAGCAGCAATGTATATATTTCGTGTCTGATGGAATATATTACTTGTACCTGTGACCTGCGAATGCAAATTGTATATTGGTGGGATCTTTTATATCAACCTATTTTAAAATTGCTTTATTTAGTCTGCTCAACATTGCCATTATTGTAGCTGAGATTCGATTTGAACCTGCAAACCTTAAACCCCAGGGCAAATGTGTCAACCAATTGCTTATTCAACTGTATAGTTATAACATAGTGCAATAAATGTCTTTAAATATCTAAAAGGTAATGGTGCAACCATGCAATGTTTTCCTCAAACCACTGCTGGACCTCAATTAGAGGAAGCTCTCGAGAACCTCTCTTCAGTTAATATATGTAACGTTTAGAACCCATCACCATAAAAAATATATATATCAAAATTGGCATCTCATTATTGGAATTATCTATTTCCATAAGCGTTTTCTGAGAACAAGGTATACAGATGTCAGGCGTGCGGCAAGCTTCTGACATTAATATTGTATGCAAAATATTAGGTTGTGCAATCAAATTATATATGCACTTGTCCATATTGATATCATAAATAATTTTTAAATGTGGTGGTAAAACATTAATCCCCATCGGTTAGTACCATGCTAGTGACGATGGACTACAGATACCGAGTCTATTTCATAAACTGTAATATGTACTGACTGCACGTGTTAATATATTTAAATTCATGAGACATTTTTTTTCTATTAAAGCACACTTTAAAACGTATATCTTCTTTATAATTTCTCTTTCGATGTATCCGATTCACTTTTTTCCATAAGTGATGGTCTTGGAAGTGTCATCTGTTGTAAAAAAGGACATAAAATGTGTATCATTTATTAAGCTATAAATAAGAAACGCATTCATATAAAGTTAATTTTCCATGTGACTACAGCGATGTAAAGTGCCACATATGTAATGAAAAATACACTAGAACTTTATTTGTATTTGGAGACTTGAATTCCTATATGTATGGTCCAGTTCACATGATAGAGAATGTCTCTTTACATCTAAACTCTAAAGTGTGCCAAAGCATAACTAACAATGGGTTAAATTGCCAAGGTGACGTAATAACCTGCTTCATTAGGGACTTGGACCTGGGCCACAGTATCTTTCATTGATGCAAGAAGAACATTTATATTTACACAATCTAACCACAAAAACGTTATTAAGTAGAACATTTGGATTTATTATGAAAGTATGGTTTCAAAATATGTATTTCTGTTTTAGCTTCAGCTTCACAGAATTAAATTCAAAATGGTAGCTTTCAGCACAAACTTAATATACACATTCACATTTCTCCATAATTACTCCCTTCACGAAAGTCATGTCAAACCGTATGTTTTGTATTGACTTGTAAGTTTTGAGAGCTGTACAGGATTACCTCTCTTTAACCATATTATGATGCAACCGCATCGCAATAAAAAAATGTTGAACACAAATATCACAGTATGTAAAGAAAGCTAAGCCATATGAATCAGTGCTTGGCATTTTCAGCGATTATTAAAGCAGTGTAGCTGCAAGTTCATAAAGAACAACTTTTAATCATCCTGTGTAGTGGATGAAAAATTATCTCAATGCATTATTATAGAATATTACTTTTATCTGTATGAACTATGTAACATATTGTGGCTTATCTCACCTTAGTATTGCTAATATTGTAAAGCACTGGGCTCCAGTTTGAGGGAATTATATGAGAAAGATTGCTGCTTGACTGGCTGTCTTCGATACCACTTTGTGTTCTCCATGCTGAAAATATGAATACAACAAAATAATCCGTCACTTTTTTAACACTTCCCATACTGAACTGGCTAGGATGCAGCACAAAAAAACTTGTTTTACTTTATATTTGATGGAGGTCCAGTTATAAAACAAACATTACATATTTAACAACACAAATAGAAAAAAACAGAACTCGGATTCATGGGATGAACACGACTGATACAATGGAGTGGCAATAAAGGAGCCCCTATTTGCAAACTAAGAAAATAAAGAATAGCAGAGGGAAGGGAGAAGAGACAAGGAAAGACAGAGAAAGTGAGGATAAGGAATGGCAAATACACAGTGAGGTAAACAGCAATGACTTCACAAAGAGTGAACAAAAGGAGGTATATTTAAATACACTTTTGCAAGCTAATGTTCTCAGTCGTATCTTATATTTATACAGCGCCTTTATCCAAAGCGCTTTACAAGGGTTATGAGTGGTATAATGAGGGTAGCTAAAAGTGATATGGTGGATAGGGATGGAGTATGGGGAGGGAGGTTTATTGGTTACTGGATTTACGGGGGTACCTAGGGATGGAGGGAAGGATGGGGCAATGGTGACAAGGTGCGTCTGGGGGAGGAGCGCAAACGAGAGAGGGAGGATGTTTGCTTAATGTGGAGAGGAAGTTTGTTCCAGTGCAAGGGGGCAAGTAGTGAAAAGGAGCGGAAACGGTGGATTGTGCACAAGGAGAGGGGGAACAGGTTCGGAGTAGGAGAGATTGAGAGCCCAGATGCATTTTAACGATTGTAGAATGTTGTTGTTCACAAGCATAACACGAATATAATCGACACAGATATAAAGAAATAAGTGTACACAACATTAAAATACTATTGGCCGTGGCATAAATTTTACTATCTTAAGACATGTCGCTTTTACAAATATTACAATGTGGCCCACCGATTTGGAAATTGAACCAGCTACTCTATGTGGTTTGGTCAGGTGCTTGGAGGTGTAATATAATTTATAAAAGCAGTCTTTATATAGAATATTGGTTTAGAAAATTACATAACATTATGGCAAAGTTAATTATAACATTGTTCTGAGACAATTTAAAATCATGTTGAAAGTCACACCGTTTACAAAATTGGATATTATACCGCAGTTTGCCTTCATTTCCACAATGGTGAAATGGGTACAATGTAATTATTTTATTTTGAGACTGCATACAGGGAGACACTTTGATTTCAAATCATTTCACCAATTAGGGAGAATCAGTGACGTAGCACTCCATGGTGAGGGATTTCTCACCTTTATACCCAGTGCAAGGTTATGTGGACCCCTGAAAAAACTTGGTTTGGTGGAATTGCATTAATTGCACCACTCTTTCAAACTCCAGTTCCCGCAATCTACCACGGTGTGTCTCCCGCAGTTAAAAAAAAAAATCGATTTTGAATACAAATTAAAACGTTAACGCAGAAACGTGCCCTACGGTGAGGACTGATCTAGCCCTAGCAATTGACCATTTATTGCAAAGGAAAGCATATATGTTATCTCAAGCACTATTACATATATTTTAGAAAACAGAATGAACAACAAATTAATTTAGATTTGATTTACTTACATTTGAAGTAGGGGAGTTTCCCTTCACTACTCTCCTCGTCTTCAAAATCACTACATGAAAAAACATGACAATAGTTTAAAAACGCTTGTTTTATCCAGAATTGTGTCACCTGTTCATATTAATAATTGTGTTTCCTACAAGAATGTCACGTTGCATGAGCCTGACCATGTCACGTCTCGCAAAGGCGGGGGGGGGGGCAAGCCTGGTTTATGCTTCCCTCACCAAACAGCACAAACCAGCAGGGTAAAGTATGGATGTCTCATCCAAACAAAGAGCTGTACATTATTATTACTTTACAGTATATTAAATATACTCTCGCTCTGAATCATTCTCTCTGAGAGTTGAGTGAAAATTGTGCGCATTAAAATTGTGTTGTATTTGCGTTTCCACCACGCATTCAGAAATTCAGTTGAAATAACCATTTATACAAACCTGTTTCCACTTTTAAACATCTTGTAGGATCCAGAAACTCGATGTCTCCAGAACACAATGATGGCTATTAAGATGAGGAGCAGGCCGCCCAGGCTTCCGAACAAGATCCCAAAAAAGGCTGGTGATGTGATAGTCAGGTTTTCACATCTGGTCCCAGTATAATGGTAAATACCATCTTGGTTGCAGCTAAAGAAATGAAGTAAGCGGCATGAGTAAAATGCGCATATTGACACGATTACACGTTGTTTATAATTCTTTTGGGACATTGTTTCAAGAAAATTAAGATGTGTACCACTTTATGTGTACCACTCCACTAGCATTAAAACATTTAGTTTTGTGCACAACAAAACTATATTTTTATATGAAACACATTATTTGGTGATGATGTTAAATGTTTTGTTTGTTTTAAGACAGTGTTATTGACGAACATTAAACCTTTTAATTTTTTTTATATTCAGCTGTCAGATACATTATATTTTTTGTCAGGGTGGAAGAGTCCAAACACCTTTTACAGTGGTTCTCTAGAGCTGCCTGTAACAGTGGCTGGGGCAAGACATTGCAAGGATGGATCTGTGCGCTTTCTCCTTACTGTTTAGGAATATGTAATGATATACACAATTGAAGTAACATTTTTCACAGTGAAACTCACAAGCACACTGGCCCAGTCTCTGTGCTTTCGCACTTCCCCCCATTCAAGCAGTTGTTCTGCTTGGCACAGGGGGACTGACACCGGATGCCGTCATTGGGATCGGTGAAAGGCTGGTATCCAGGCAATGCCGTCTCGCACACCACAGCCTTCAACAGCTCCTCCAATGAAACTGTAACACATTTCCCTCCAAAAGTTAAAACCAAGCTCCTTCATTGTTGTGTTACAATGTATACCGTCTCAATTCCTTTTGCATTCATTATTTGCAAAGTAAGAATGTAATGGTTTTTCAAAATATATTTAAAGCATATACATCCAGAATAGATTATATATATATAAATATTTGACCTTGCTATTGCAAGGATGCTGTGTAACAAAACACTTTGATTATTATTCTTTTTGCACAGGATTTGATAAGTCTTCATCTTGTATTGTTATCATCGTTGTTTTCCTGTGTTACTCATGATACAAACAATTAATAATTCACGCATATTTCGCGAATCAGACATTGATTGAGAACTCGGAGGTGCTGATGCATTTTGCGCTGCTACTCATGCCTTTAACCCAGGCACCCCCTGTAAACATACATTTGTAGCCTCAGTGGGCTCTCATATGGTTATACAGGCTATGATTATAATGATAATATATTGGAAATATAATGAATAAAATAAGTTTAACCAATAGAGTCAATCAATATACGACACGTCCTACAGGGCATATCATTAGCCTGAAGCCAGAAGGGAGGCGTAACCTGTTTACTTGTGAGAAATACGTAAATTTTGATTTAAAGCTTTCGTGACTGCAGGGATTCATATTCTTGGTCCTTTCGGTAAAGTCACGTAGAAGGGAAACAATAAAATAAGAAAAATAAAAAAAACAATAAAATTCTCACGACGTTTCGACTGCAACACAAGCAATCATCACCAGGTGTGAAAACCACAGCAAGAAAATTTTCTTATATTTTTATTATTTTATTGTTTCCCTTCTACGTGACTTTACCGAAAAAAACAAGAATAGAAATACGTAAGTTTTAAAATACTGTGTTGTGACAAGTGACGAATCCTTACGTATCTGTTGCACAGTGATGTTGAGTAATTGTAAGCCCTCGAACATGCGTTTATTTGTAGTGAATAACGCATACATTTTTTTCTCAAGAGACCCGTTATAAATGGAGAAGACCTGGACACTCGTTGTGTAATTGAATCTAGCTGTGCTGTTCACGTACGTGGTTGTATTTATTATGCTGAAAAAGGCAAAAAATGCAACATATCAATGAACATATCTCAGAGCAGACCTGGTTACAGGCGTGTATATGATGAGAACTTTCTTTGTGGAAGGTAAATATATTCCCTGGACCAGAGTTGCATTCACCCAATAGCAAATGCGTTAAGCATGAATACTGCCCACAGTACCACAAGAACAATGCTGCAATGACATTTAAGTGGCGATCCATGACAGTTATTCTGGTAGTTTACACTAAAACTGGTTAAATCTGATTACTGTTACAAATGTCTGACAACTAAATGTGCGTAACATTGATAATAACGGCTTTGTTTTAAATGATGGCATTCTGCTTACCTCATGTTTTCCACAGAGCAGTCGTAGTAATTGGGTATTGTGTCTAATGTATTGGAAACCTGTTGAAATCACCAAAGAAAATGGCAAAAAGTCCATTGAAGGTATAATTATTAACATCTCCAACCATGTTACTAATATCTCTCAACCTGTAGATATTACCTAGGTGTCCAGCCGGGTGTAAGAGTAGGGCAAATAACCCCTATATGGGCTCTATAGAGCTCCCTGTCGAAGGCCTTTCTCCCAGCAGTGGCGTGAGCGAGCAATTGCAGGGCTGCGCCTTTACTTGCCTAGGCTGTGTCGCGGGCGGTTTGAAAATAATGTTCGGCTTCTTTAAGCCGGGTGCACCACCAAAACACTATGTAGTAACCTCACTGTAGTAACCTCACTGTAGTAACCTCACTGCAGTAACTTCACTGTAGTAACTTCACTGTAGTTTACCTCACTGCAGTAACCTCACTGTAGTAACTTCACTGTAGTTTACCTCACTGCAGTAACCTCACTGCAGTAACCTCACTGCAGTAACCTCACTGTAGTTTACCTCACTGTAGTAACCTCACTGCAATAACCTCACTGCAATAACCTCACTGTAGTTTACCTCACTGTAGTAACCTCACTGTAGTAACCTCACTGCAGTAACCTCACTGTAGTAACCTCACTGTAGTTTACCTCACTGCAGTAACCTCACTGTAGTAACCTCACTGTAGTAACCTCACTGCAGTAACTTCACTGTAGTAACTTCACTGTAGTTTACCTCACTGCAGTAACCTCACTGTAGTAACTTCACTGTAGTTTACCTCACTGCAGTAACCTCACTGCAGTAACCTCACTGCAGTAACCTCACTGTAGTTTACCTCACTGTAGTAACCTCACTGCAATAACCTCACTGCAATAACCTCACTGTAGTTTACCTCACTGTAGTAACCTCACTGTAGTAACCTCACTGCAGTAACCTCACTGTAGTAACCTCACTGTAGTTTACCTCACTGCAGTAACCTCACTGCAATAACCTCACTGTAGTAACCTCACTGCAGTAACCTCACTGTAGTTTACCTCACTGTAGTTTACCTCACTGTAGTAACCTCACTGTAGTAACCTCACTGCAGTAACCTCACTGCAGTAACCTCACTGTAGTTTACCTCACTGTAGTAACCTCACTGTAGTTTACCTCACTGTAGTAACCTCACTGTAGTAACCTCACTGCAGTAACCTCACTGCAATAACCTCACTGTAGTTTACCTCACTGTAGTAACCTCACTGCAATAACCTCACTGCAATAACCTCACTGTAGTTTACCTCACTGTAGTAACCTCACTGTAGTAACCTCACTGCAGTAACCTCACTGTAGTAACCTCACTGTAGTTTACCTCACTGCAGTAACCTCACTGCAATAACCTCACTGTAGTAACCTCACTGCAGTAACCTCACTGTAGTTTACCTCACTGTAGTTTACCTCACTGTAGTAACCTCACTGTAGTAACCTCACTGCAGTAACCTCACTGCAGTAACCTCACTGTAGTTTACCTCACTGTAGTAACCTCACTGTAGTAACCTCACTGTAGTTTACCTCACTGTAGTTACCTCACTGCAGTAACCTCACTGTAGTTTACCTCACTGCGGTAACCTCACTGCAGTAACCTCACTGTAGTTTACGTTACTGTAGTAACCTCACTGCAGTAACCTCACTGCAGTAACCTCACTGTAGTTTACCTCACTGTAGTAACCTCACTGTAGTAACCTCACTGTAGTTTACCTCACTGTAGTTACCTCACTGCAGTAACCTCACTGTAGTTTACCTCACTGCGGTAACCTCACTGCAGTAACCTCACTGTAGTTTACGTTACTGTAGTAACCTCACTGTAGTAACCTCACTGCAGTAACCTCACTGCAGTAACCTCACTGTAGTTTACCTCACTGTAGTAACCTCACTGCAGTAACCTCACTGTAGTAACCTCACTGTAGTTTACCTCACTGTAGTAACCTCACTGTAACCTCACTGCAGTAACCTCACTGCAATAACCTCACTGCAGTAACCTCACTGTAGTAACCTCACTGCACTACCGCAGTCACACCACAGAAATGTCACCAGGCTGAAAATCAGTTTACATTTTATTCTTCTTAAAAATGAAATTTTGCGCTGTTTTAAACACCCTACAAACCTATAGCGAACAAGATAGCGTGGCTTTTTTAGGTTTCACCTTGCTTTTAAAACATTTGCACATCACGATTACGGTATATTCAATAAAAAAAAAGTTACTCACATGATCACGGAATGACTCTGTATCATTTATTATGTCAGGATTCTTAAACCACATAGTGAATTCCGCCTTCTGTGTGCCTTCAATAAAATATACGTACGCACATATTAGCACCGTTAATGATTCAACAGTATAATTAACGCAATCACATGTTTAATACAGGAATGCTGACTTGGAAATCCAGAGGTCATGGGTTCGATTCACGTGTGGCGGGGTAAAGTGTGGTTTAGCCCCACATCTTTCCAGGCCAAATACCCTCTCTAGAGCTCCCTCTAGTGGAGGTCCTCTTCCAGCAGTGGCGTGAGCTAGCGACTACACGGCGCACCTTCAGCTTTCACTTCTCTATATTTAATATACCGAGCACAACAGAAAACAATTCTTAATCAAATTTTCCCAAAGAAGGCCAATCCTGAAACGCCGAGATCTTCCTTTCTTGTGAGTGGAAGCTATAAACCTGTTGTTATTTTTGTATCAACCCATTTTTAAAATGTAACATCAACTGTAGGGTCTATGAATACACCATATCAACACGCATATATCTACACACAGCATACATCGAACAGTATTCTAAGATGTATCCACTATACGTATACATAAATAAGTTACATGAACATTCCACGAATATAAACGTGAATAAGTAACTTTAAAGCAATTGAAAATGTCGAAACTTCAAGCTATAATAATAATTGAATGGTCACATGGAGAGATAATCTAAAGAAATGTATTCAGGAGCAGACGCTCTCGAATAAGGGTTTTGTATGCTTGTGCTAATACCATATAAGACGTATATGATATAAAAGTCCAAACAAATAAAAGTATCTCCCGGCTAAACACACAATGAGGGTAACTATATTTTCTGTTGGGATGTGAGGCCAATGGTGGAAATTCCTAAATCTCACGGAGAGCCAGACTAACCAGGCAACACGCTCCGTGGGGACCTCCTTTGCAAGTGTCAAAATATAATAGGTTTTCCCCTTTTATCTGGCAACAAAACAGGTGTTAAGATTTTGATTTAAAGCTTTCGTGACTGCAGGGATTCATATTCTTGGTTCTTTCGGTAAAGTCACGTAGAAGGGAAACAAGCCCGCTCACTTCTCTTGACAGTCAAAAATGTCTTGTACCTCTTATGGTCCCTCAATGTAATTCCGAGCATTTCTGTCCTAACATTTTAGCTTCAGTATCTGTAAAGAAACAGCCCATGGATTACCTTTAAAAGTGGCACCGACGGAGCTGGCACCATACTGGCACTTGTCACCTCTGTAAGCAATCGGGCAGTGACAGGTGGCGGTACAGGTGACATTGTTGGCACACACTCCTTCGTTCTTGCAGTATCCAGGAGTGCAGGCAGCTTCCTTGCAATTATCTGCCACACACTGCTGCCCATTGTCTGAGAAGTTACAGACATGCCAAACGTCACTTACTGCAAGTATACCTGCTCCACGTTGTCATTGATACATTTAATGGATTAATCTATGGGAAATGCAAAGTCAATTGTGCACACAGTACAGCCTTATATCTTACAGTTGTATCCATCCTGGCAGACACACTTGAATGAACCCGGCAGGTTCTCGCAGATTTCAAACAGAGGGCATGGGGAATTCCCAGACACACATTCATCCACGTCCACGCATGCTTTATTGACGAGCTTGTATCCCGCGATGCACGAGCAAGAATACGAGCCCACGGTGTTATGGCACACGGCCGCCTCGCCGCAGGCTTGCTTGTCCCCAGGTTGACATTCGTCAACGTCAAAGCAAAATGATCCATTGTCTGCGAGACAAAAGAAACATACATTTCCAAAGCCATAAGCTCGACGTGCTGTGCCATTCTTTCCACACACCAGCCCCCACTGCACCGGCACTGGCCACTGCACCACCAGGGAATTTCAGACTCTAGCCACCACTGCTTGTTTTGTTTGAAACAATTTGGCTCCACATTCAGGTGATGCATCCCTCAGAAGGGGTGCTCAGGCTGGCCACCTCTCCCGACCCACCCGCCCCACCTTGGTACTGAAGCGTTCACAGCATTACAAAGTGTTTTCTTCAATGTCTACAATCAGAAATTATGTACAAATACATAGTATGCCAAATAACGTAGTTTTGTGTTCATTCACAGGCATGTATGGACATTATGTGTATCATGTACAACTCTTGCTGGTCAGTGCTTGTTGGTCAACACTTGCTGGCGAAGGCAGTACCACAATACATTGCCTCTGCTGCCGACAATGAAGCGGATAACAAAATCGCTATGCGCCCATTTCCATAGCATCTCTGAAGATACTCGAGGTTGAGCCTGGATAGTACTTGCCTGGATAGCCACCAAAGCATAACAGATACCATAGGCTGCTTGGACTATATATTACCATACAGTATTGTAATTACATCTAATTTACAAGAAAAAACAATTTCAAGAAAGTGAAAAAGACAATTTGAATTACATATTCGCATACTTGTATGTGCTCAGAAAAATCTCCATTTGTCACAACTTGCTTTTATATATTTTTTATATTTTAAACAACTATAAATAGTATGTAAATATGTATTTTTTTCTATTTTTGTATTGTTTTCAATTTATGTTGAGTATTTATGTGACGGCGCTTTTGCCGTGTATGTAAAACAAAAATGAAATTAAGCTGATTTTACGTAGATCAAGAAAAAGGTTGTATTTCATCAGCAATAAACACAATTCACATGCACTCACATGTATAACCGATGCTGCAAGTGCAGTTGTGGGAGCCCTCTGTGTTCACACAAGTAGAGTTTCCCAAGCATGTAGGTGTGCCACTCTGGCACTCGTTGATATCATTGCAAGTGCGCTCATCCGGGTCCAGTTCATATCCATGCTTACACGCACACTTGTAGCTGCCCACTGTGTCCATGCATAACCCATGCAATGGATCACACGGTGTCCTATTGTCAGCCCCTACTGATGAATTGCACTCATTGATGTTGACACACGGCGTTTCGCTTGTACCATTCAGGATGAATCTGAAAATCAGAATTGGAAGTTTATTTCCCCCATTGAGCTTTGCAGCACTATTTGAAGGGTGACTCACCCAGCCACAGCGACAACAAAGCGTTACATATTGCAAGTTATATTCATGCTTTAAGCAAATATAATTGCAGCAATACTATGTAAAACATATTAGTGGAACTGGAAATTAACACGAAGGTACCAATGACATGCAAGATGTAAATGCTGTAGTTCTCATGTGGAATACGATTTATTAAACCATTTGAAACCATTTGGCAAAGAGCCACATGCCTGTAATCCAGTACTTTAGAGGTGACGTTTATATTTAATCATAATTGTTTTGCTGGTACGTAATTGTATTTGTAGTGGTGTTATTTCACACGGACAACGTCTTTTTATCCTGTGTCACGTTATTCGTGCAGAACTCATCGTGGTTAACACCACGTGACTCCGTCGCAACTCTTCCTCTTGCGCTGCTCGTCTGCTACGCCCCGCTCGCTCTCTCTCGTTAGCCTGCTATGTTACATTCTGCTAGCCTCTCTACTGCTAGCCTTCTCACACTCACACTTAGGATTTCGCTAGCCTCTCTACTGCTAGCCTCTCTACCCTCACTCCTCCGACCTCGCCCTTGCCTCCAGTGGGGAATCAGCCAACACCGCTGGAGAGGACGAGGTGTTGAGAGCGGGGTCCCGAACCTCCATTGAATTCACTCTTGTCTTCACTCCAACCAACCCAACTCCTCTGCCTCACACGTTCCCCTTTTATCCTCCTCATTAAGTGCCCCCAGATGGCCCTCATTAAGCCGGCGTCCTCCCTATGCCTCGCACGTGTTCTCCTCCTTAAAACACCACTATCTCTCGCCTCCGTGGCGTCTCCTCCGCGTTTGTATTTGCAGCCAGCCAATCACTGCCTCTTTCGCTAATTGCTGGCGTCTCTCTGTGTGCTGTCACCCAGGCCACCCGCCTGCACTTGCTTATCCTTAGCTGACACCACTGCAACCCCGTACATAATGCAACTGCTGTTTGCAAACCCTGCGCGCGTTACGCCACTACATATTAAAACAAATTTTAATTTACCGTGTGGGATATACATTGTATTCACAAACACTCGTCAAAAACACTGCCTTAAAATATAACAAATTGCAGTCGTGTTCTCCAATAACGCGGTAGTTGCATTCCTGAAGAACACCGTGTTAAGGAAAAATTGCGTTATAATAAATAATATATATTATAGGGTAAAGCAAGTACCCGATAACACATGAAATGTGTACACAGTCTAAACAAATACTGCGGTGAGTGGCTAGCATATATAAGCATACAGCAGCATCCCGTCTTGTGATGCTACACCGAGGCAGCCGTACAATCGCGTATTCCTACTCACTCAACGAAGTTATGTTCACCCAATCACGTTATAAAAAATATGTTCCCTAATACATTAATCGCGTTATATCCAATTTGCATTACGAAAACACGCGTTATAGGGAAAATACTGTATACAAACGGTCCAAGGGTTATGGAAGACCCGACTTGCGGAAATTCGATTTTACGGAAATGGTCCCATAAATTATGTAAAAAATAATGTGAGGCGCGGTGAGGTTGTGGATGAAAACCGCGGAGCGAGGCGTAAGGCGGCCTCGCTCAACCAAAGTGCCCCCTTCACAGAGCCCAAGCTTCACGAGGATTAAGGTCAATGGAATTTTTTGTACCGTTCCGCAATTCTTTTCCTTTTGAAGCATTACGTAATTGTTTGTTTTCTGTATGGTATGTACTGTGTGTCTGTGTGTGTTTGTGTGTGTATGTATGCATGTGTGGTGGGGAGCGGTAGTGTAGTGGTTAGCGCGCTGCGCTACGAACCTGCCGATCCTGGGCCTCCGCTAGGTCGACTCAGCCTCAAATGAGTACCTGGTGCGGTGTGTAAACATCGCCACTCGGGAGACAAAGGTGGCCGGGCTTGGTTCTGGCCACCCACCCCCTCATGTGCTGTGCCGTCCTTCATAGGTGCCACTCACTAACAGCACTTGTCCCAACATGTTAAGGCTATATGGGGTGATCTTTATGTATGTGTGCACGTTTGTGTAGATGAGCCTACGCCACCTTTGTCTTGGTGTACGTGTGTGTTTGTGAAGTCTAGGCCTAGCCGAATGCACGGTAACCATTCGGAAGTGACTGCTTTCTGTTAACGATTTCTATTAAAATCAACAATTGGATACAGCATATGTTCCGTTAGTTTAATAATTGGTAGTGTTAGGGTAGATATTCGATGAAATGAAAGAATCATAAGAAGTGCAGAGCGTATGTACAGCGATACGCGATACAGGTAGCGATAGAAAACGGACATCGCGATACGGTACTGAGAGAAAACGAACCTATTAATCGGGTAGGGGAGGCACAACTATTTCCGGCTATGGGATTTATCTAACCCTTATCTAACCCTTCCGTAAGTCGGGGACCGACTATATATAATTGGCAACAATTTGGGCTCTGGCCCTTTTTCATCGCACATAGACCAATAAAAGAAGGGCCAGTGCCCAGAACATCACGAATTAAATGTTTTCTGAAAAGGCATTGTTATTAATGAATGTTAATTGTGCTTATGCACCAGTGCCAATGCAGCAGAATCACCAAATTATGTTCACAAAACTTAACCATTTTGTGTGAACTTTTGGTAATATCCAGAAAACAAAAACCTGCCAATGAATGTATCTACATCACCCCTGATTATGCAATAACTACTCTGCACAAATTCTAACATTTAGCTTTTTCGTTATTAAAATTACATTATACAAACTAATAATATATGCCTCTGTACTTATATGTGCTGGGAGAATACGTCATGCAAAGATACAAGATACATACCCCTCATTGCAGACACAGGTTATGTTTTTTTCTGCAGTTACGTGGCAGGTCCCATTTACACCACATATATCTGTCTCACAGGTATTATTTCCTGCAAAGATAAAATTCTTATTGTTAAGAAGTATGGAATTAATTTGTATGCTGAAGTGCATTATGTTATGCATGGGAGATCAGGCAAACACCTAGTGATGTTTTATACGCTGATTAAAATATGCACACTAGGACAAAAGTTGGTGGCAAAGTGGTTAAAGTACATGTTTTGCTGTTGTGATTTTGTTATTCTTATAATTTTCAGAAAATATTTAAATTATAAAGGTCGACATTGGATGACATTAAAAAATTGTATATTGCTCACTTATTAACATTTGCACTGATGTGGCAAAGGCCACTAAACTAGGTTTAAGGCGTACTAGTAGTGTATATTTTAGTGGAAAGATGTTTTACTGGCTTAGAAGTGTAGCTGTGTCTGTTAAGAACATACCGATGCATATGACCCCATTTCCTGTGTAACCAGTCTGGCACTGGCACTGAAAACCGCCATCATAGTTTTGACAGAGCCCAACCTTCTTCGAACAGTTGTTTTGATCTGGTTGGTCACACTCGTTGATGTCTTCACATGACAAACATATACAATGAAACAAATGTGAACCATGATGAGCATTGGCATGTAAAACACTTTAAGTTGGGAAAACGTATCTTTGGTGTGCTTTTATTGAAATTAAACCTTGTGGAGTAAAATGTATTTCAAAGAACAACTAAAGTGGCATTTGTTTATATTGAAATTAAGGACAAATAAGTGGGATATATTGACTTTTTATACTCTAAACAATAAAGGGTAGCATTGCTGCAAAGTTTAAACCTCCGCTAAAAGCATAGCTTAGCACATGCCTTTTCAATATTATACCATATCGCATGGACTGATGCTGTTTTCTGACATAAGCATCTCTGCGATTAGTTCCCTTAGTTGTGATGTTGAATTGGAAGGCATTGTTTAGGGTATGATTTAGGACTTGATGAGAATGTTAAGAGCCGCATGGATCACAGGGCTATACCTAATAAATGAAACTTGAAGTGGAATGTGCAGTGTGGTCTTGAGAAATAAATGAGCATGAACTCTTATACGACACATTTATTTGCGTGGTATAACCCAATACATCAATTATGAAACTTATAAGATCTTTACAATGTACATTTTTTTAAATTTTATTTGGGCGACTATTTTCTCAGCAAGTGCAGATGTAGGTTACATGTGATACTGGTGCCATTGAATTACCTGAACAATCTCTGTCCATGTCAGTCTGGTACCCTGTTTTACAGCTGCATATGTATGAGCCCAGCGTGTTGGCACAATCCTTTTTTACTGGACAGGGATGCTTCTCCGTGCATTCGTCAATGTCTGAGATATGACAAACGTGGTTCATTCACATTTAACACCCAAAAAATGTAAACATGTATTATTTCATACAAACAGTAGGCATCGTCAAATATAATGAGGTTTATTATTGTGACTAGGTTAGTGTGCTATATTTATCATCACAATACCTGTGCAAGTTCCATTTTTCATTCTGTATCCTGCTTTGCATTCACAGCTAAAAGTACCATTCTTGTTTATGCACTTTTCCAGTTCCTGACATGGGTTACTCAAACATTCATCAATGTCTGCACAGAAATAAAAATCATACATTCACATTACGGGCATGCTGTAAGTTCACTACAACAGTCAAAACACTAGAGTGGTGACGTCAACAAATAAAATACCACCAACACATCACACGTATTTTAATATACAATTAAACGTGTTAAAATAACTGAACTGTATTCCTAGAATAGAGAGATATGCAACACATTTTTTTTTGTAAGAGGAGGGAGAGTTGGCAAAAACACATTCCTTCCTTCTTGCTACTAATATCACTTATTAGAATGTAAGTAGTAAAGCTTATACGAGTCCTAAAGTATAGTTATTATAAGTATTTTAACTTTAAATGTTTTCTGTTTTGAATCATAGTGGCATTACTTACCATTGCAATGCGTTCCATTTCCTGTATATCCTCTGGCGCAAGTACAATAGAAAGAACCTGGAATGTTCATACAATCTGTACTTGCCCTGTCACAGTTGTTAAGGCTATTATTACCACACTCGTCAATGTCGGAGCATATTTTGCCACTTCCAGCGAACCCTGTTTTGCATCTACAGTCGTACGAGCCATCCATATTGATGCATTCGGCATCACTGTGACACGTGTTATTGTTGGTGTTACATTCATTTATGTCTGTAAAACAAAAGTGAATTTTGTTGAATTATTCCAACAGTGATATCGGTGTCATGTCATTATACGAAAAATGTATTTGGAGCAGTGCATACCCCGTGTATTGGAGAACGGAGCATGGAATGAGATTTATAGAACTACTTCTGATATTCTCCCAATGGTAGATGCATTTTCTCACATCACCTGCTACAGAACAATGCTTGTTTTAGAGCTGTACTTTATACAAATGTGTATATACTCTTTGGTTCTTTCGGTAAAGTCACGTAGGTATAAAATAAAATAAATCACGACGTTTCAGGCGCAACACAAGCGTCCATCATCAGGTGGGAAAGCATGATGACGGATGCTTGTGTTGCACCCGAAACGTCGTGATTTATTTTATGTTATACTGACGTGACTTTACCGAAAGAACCAGAGTATGGATTCCTGCAGTCATGAAAGCTTCAAATAAAAAATGTGTATATATTTGTTTTATTATCAAATGTGATGTTTTTTTTCCATCATTGGTGACACTGAGCTAAGACAATAACGTTTCTACAATTGAAACCCCAGTTCAATTACAGGAGGCTGCACCAATTGGAACCCAGATTGTTCAGCAGTGCTTGCTCAGTGCTCTGACTCGGCCACCTTCTACGGGTTTTGTTGAAAGTGCCTGGGTTGCAACTCAAATTTCAGATTCATAATATTATCCAATGTATTAAAATATATATCATTAACCTGAACCTCAGCCATACGTGCATGTCCGGGATCAATATAATCTGTCAGATATAGTAAAATATCATTATCTGTGGACGTTTATTCAAACCGAGTCAAAGTCTCTCCAAGCTCAATCAGAAGTGGTGCAGTGCTCATCACTATTGTAGGCCGTGAGCCAGAAAAGGACATTTCGCTTTCCCACTGATGTGAGGAGATTCTCTCAAGGAGAACCATTGTTGAATTCTCACAAACGGGGTACAAATGCAGACATCCATAGACAAGTGAGATATATAAGAATACATTTTTTTGTTAACCTGTGCAATTGTCTCCTGCGTATCCACGTTTGCAGATGCAGTTGAAGGACCCCTCAGTGTTGTTACAAATGGAATTATTCCAAAAGCGGCAGGGATCGTCATTGATACGACACTCAAAGTTATCTGTAGGGAACATACACAAGGCTTATAACAATTTGAAACAATTTCATTTTGTGATGTTGAAATATAAAACCCCATTGTGTAAAAAAATGACTTATGATAAAAAAAATAACTTATAATATAACAAATATATGAATAGTACATTCAGGGATTAATTTTCTCAATTTCCCAGGGAGTATTTTTTTACGGAGCTCAGCCATAAACAGCTCTTGCTGAATTTATTCCATTTAGTATGTACATTTTTAAACGACTGATTTTTGTCATGGCAGTATCAAGCAATGTTGGCCTAATGGTGTCATATTAAAATAAGGCACAGTGTATTTGTACAATGGTCTTTTTAAAATAGGTGTACAAATAAAATCCAAGTAAAGATAAAATCTCCCAAACAAATGTAAGCATTTTCCTACCATAACAATACTTATCGCCATCTCCTTGGAATCCATTATTGCATCTGCACATATAGCTCCCAAGTGTGTTGACGCAGTGTCCATTCGTTGCACAAAGAGAAGAATTCAGTGCACACTCATTGATGTCTGCACACAAGGAGACACCACTCTTTAGCCATGGCACTTAGTGATCATATCGGGTCACATTTTAATTTATTCAAATCATATTCTTTGGGTCTTTCGGTATAGTCACATGACTTTACCGAAAGACCCAAAGAATATAAATTTCTGCAGTCACGAATGCATTAAGTCAAGATTCTTCAAATCACTTAAGTCTTGGTTTGTGATGCACTTCCCTCGTCAGTATTACATTTATGGATCTCTCTGTGTAGATGCATGCATCTCATATGCATGTGTACATTTCTGGGATCTGTACTTAAAGTTGGGCTCACCAGAACCTAAAATATACATTATCATTAGCAGGGGAGGAAACAAGTGGGGCTCACATGCCTTTTCTAGTGGAATTCCAACCTTACTGACAGCACGTAACACTCTTATTGGCTTAAGAGGACAATACTTTCCTTGTGGTACTTTATATATAAGCATGGGAGTGCTACAGGCAGCAGTGATTGAATTTGTCCACAGTTGTCTATCACTGTCACCTGTCACATTTGTTCATATTTATTTTGTTGGTGACCTAAAGTAAGAGGACCGCAACGAATTTCAGGAAATGCAGATGGTATTTTCTTTTTCACGGAGGCTGTGAGCTTTTTACAAATATTTGTGTGTTGTTTGAAACTCATGGTGTGTTTGTCAGTGCATCATACGAATCACTGTCATACACAGCATTGTGGAAAGAAAGGCATCCAGGCTGGTGTGTAAATGGCTCTGCCATTTCCTTGTGTGCTGTGCAATCTCGAAAGTTGGTCACTTAGAACATACATAGGTGTCTATGTGTGTATGTATTTGTTTGTGTGTGTGGGAACAACATGTGAATGTGGTCTATATCTTGTTTTCAAATGCCTTACGTAAATATTGGGTGTTTTATTCTCATAGACACGTTTTGTAAAATGACATGAACAAGAAACATTCAGTACATCCAATGGTTAATAATACACACGCCAAAAGCTGCTCTTGCTTGACGTCCAGTAAAGAGAGCATGCAATAAAGTATCGTACAGTTATTTAACTTTTTGTTGTATGTTTAACTAAGAAGATCACACGTCATAAAACACAAACAGACACACATCTGTGAGCATACCAGATAAAATACAGCTATAGCCCTTGACCTTGATTTGTAAAACTAACAATATTCATATATTTATCCAGAAACGTTTACTTCATAGCAAATAAGCAGTCATCCAACTTTTGACATATGCAACATTTTCTTGCCAATGAAACTTCTCATCAATATATCCATACAGCACCTTCACATTGGGAGCTGTTTGTGGGGCTGATTCTGTAGCCTTTTGTGCAGCTGCACTCGTATCCACTAAGCGTGTTTTCACATGTCTGATCACACACCCGTGGCTGCGCCAAGCACTCATTCTCATCTGTCGAACAAAAACAAATACAGATGATTTGATAGAAGAGAATGCCAAGCAACATGAATTCGCTACAATATTATACAAAGTGGATTAGAACATGTAAATAAACATTTCGCGAATTGTTCACTACCACAGTAAATGGAATTGTGTATATAATGATGCATAAATACATGTTCACTATTTTAAAACACACATATTTTGGAATTAGATTAATTAACCACAGTCACCAAACACGCAAGCATGGATGTATTTTGAACTTCTTTCGCATCGTACGTAGCCAACCACGCTAATTGGAGGTGCGATACAGACTGATGTACAAGGATGTAGCTGATAGCATCAAAATGTGACTGCCCTCAACTAGGAGAGGATGATATAATCTACACAGAGAAAATAATTCACATACCATAACACTTTGTTCCATCGCCTTTTAGATGTGCTGGACACGGCCCGCATGTAAAATTCATGGATGGAGGGGGGAAATCAGTGCAATTCACGCCAGGGTGACAGGGGTTGTCTGCACACGCGTTAAAATCTTCTGCGCAGTATGTCCCCGTGTACCCAGGTTCACATAGGCAGCCAGCAACCTTCAAGCACAGGCATGATAGGCGGCAAAAACACAAAGCTTACTGAACAACATTAAATTAAAATTAGTTTTATAGCGTTGTAATGGGGATGCCGCTTCGGTACAACGGTTAGCACATTGGACTTGGGATCCAGAAGTCGCCTGGTTGTTCTCTTGGGACAGAAATTGAAATAATTATGCATTTTCTTAAATCCCCCCTCTGTCCCTCCCCAGCAGCAGTATATGTGAGCACACCACCACAGTTGGTTGTGCCTGTTGGGGAAAAGTGTGGGTACTGCCACCAATTCCAAGGTGTCTAGCCAGGATGAAAGAGTAGGCCAAATATTCTCTAGCAGGGCTCTCTAGAGCCTCCTTGAGTGGAGACCTGTCCACCCACAGTGAAATTCAGTTCCAGGGTTCCACCTTCATCTTTTGGTAATCACTAAATTTGTCAACATATTTCATACAAGGCTATTTCAAGACTTACAAATTGAGCACATACTGTTTACAATAACGTGCATAATTTTTTTAATGTGTTTATTTTTCTACTTGAACTGCATCATTGTGTAAGGACAGTACAGGGCCTAGTGGCCCTAAATAATGATTGCAGCGATGAGGACAGGCAGGGTCAAGTGAGGTAACTGGGTGAGGAGTCAACGCGGGGGTAGAGATAGAACCTCCGGGGTGTTATAGTGAGGCAAAGGAGAGAGTTCGGGAAAAGGGGCGTGGCAGAGCCAAGGGGAAATAAAAGGCAGCACGGAGCGGGGCTCAGGGCTGCTGTGGGAAGTCGGGCTCCAGACCGTCGTCGCAGTCATCACGGTGGATTGCCCTCATCATCTTGGAAGGCTAGGAAAAAGTTATATATCTTCGCCGTGGCTACTACATCGACGGCTCTTATATAGTCAGTCAGCTATGTAGTGAACGTCATGTAGCAGCTACGTAGAGTCACCCAGTTGTATATAGTCAACCTGTGTCCACCTGACAACATGTCATCGAGTCGGGTCGACTGTAATATATAATAAATATGTTTTAACTTAAGAAAGACAGCGTCTCTGAGTGATACATTACAATTGTATTTATGATGTCGTTTACAATTACTGGAGTAAAAAATAACGCATTCATACCAAGTGCCATGTTGTCAGTTGTTGCTAGTTAAATCATTCACAGGCTCAATGGACATTTTGAGCAGTGAAATACACCATAGGACAGTAATTATAATACTTAGAAGAAAGAACCAGATTTTGAGGGCCCCGGATAAACAAATTCACAGATATTCGCGTCACAAATAAATGGAGTTCAACTGTATTAAATTATTACAATGTATTCACATGGCGTTTAAGAAACTATGACCCCACAAATTTTGATTTGTACAAAATTTTTACATATTTTTTGCAGCTGACCTGGTAAGTGGATCCATCTCTGCCGTTGATGCTCAGGGTGGTCTGGTTGTAGAGGCACGTGGAGTGGGCGCTGCAGTTGCAAAGAGTGAGGTTGAGCAGTAGCACAGAGGAGGCCTTGCCGTCGCTGGCGCTCACCACGCCAAACACTGGCTCTGAGCTTCTGGGACTCCATGTGAAATTCCCATCACCTGCAACAACCACAGGCAGCAGCAGCAATCGCTGATCGTAATTTTGCATAAAACATTTACAGCTATTTGTTATTTTAAAGTGGATTTTGTCAATTACCTTACGAGTGCATTCATACAAAGACATGTGGGTGCCACTCGATATTGAAGTTTGTTATTTTAAAGGTCATGCATCGTGGTTTCATTCATGTTCCTGTTACAATGAAGCACTCCGAGTTTAAAGACAACTGCTCAATATTTATTGATTACATACTGTGGCGATTAGTCAATTAAGCAAATAAATCGACTAATAATTTCAATCGACCACTACTTTTTGCAGTCCATTACTCAGGCCCCTTTAAAAATGTTGGCCATCCTCCACACCTTGCCTCTTGAAGGTGGGAAACCTCCCCAAATAAGCCCCACCCAGCATAATGTGACTGCTGATGCCGATAACATCACCAATCCCCGTCCTTCACACTACCGTCCAGGGCCACAAGCGTGGGAATAGAAGTGGGACCTTTTTCCCAATCTATTTTCATGTCATTTTGATCAAGTAATTAAACCGAAGTAATATTTACTTTTCTCAATTCTGGACAGAATACAATATCTGTATGGTAATCATGTTTCATTTATAATGTACATTTACAATTATTTCTCAGTGCATGACTATTGGCATGTAATGGACACTTACTTGTAATACTGAGGTCTGAGGAGTTAGTTATGATGTTAAAGTCAATGGGGTCATTTTCTAAATCCACTGCAATCAGCTGGAAGAACACTGTTTCATTCAGTTTGGAATTCATCTGTCCAACGGAAGTAATGTTTGGTGGGAAGTTTTCTGCAACAAGAACAACACAACATTTAATATTTATGGAAAACTTCTCACCTTGGTTGAATAATTTATGCTGACTTCAGGCTTTTTTAATTTTCTAAGCATTTTCTGCCAGGGATAAAACAAACATGACATTCAACCACCTAATTTATATGTTCAGAAGTTTATCAAGGCCTTTATTTATTATTTATGTTGTGTGTTATAATAACCTATGTGTCACTGATGACCTTTTATAAATCTTTCTGGAAAATGTTTGTGGCAATGTGTTAGATCTCTTTTCTTGTGCTCTCATATTCTCTACACACTATGAGTATTTTTTATTATTACCTACTATAATCACCCAGAAATGTCTGTCTGTCCCGCGCGTGACGTCACTCCACATGAGGCCCACCCCCCGCGTGACGTCACTCCACATGAGGCTCCCCCCTCATTAATATTCATGAGTGGGTGGATTTTTAAACTAACGCAGAGGAAGGTCGAGCTCAATTAAATGTATTACGCAAAGTCGTTTCAAATATGACGTTTCTTTACAGAATGTGACGGGAAAAAAATAATCTACGCAGCACAGTGCTACATCCATGCGTGACGTCACTGAAAAAGAGCCCCCCCCTTCATGAATATTCATGCCCGTGTGCAAAATTACACTAACGCACAAGGTCGCGCACTCCACATGCCGCGCCCCTCCCCTCATTAATAATCATGAGCGGGTGACGTCACTCTACATGGAGCAACCCCCCCCCCTCATTAATAATCATGAGCTGAATAATATTTATATTGAATATTTCAGATTTACTGCAATATACACCCGTCCTTGGACGGGCAAAAAAAGCTAGTATATATAATAGTCATAATGAAGACTGTTGAAATGCCTACACAACACACAAATGAGCAATGCAGTATTACCAGCCAGCAGGTCATATATGTGATTCCACAAAAAGATAACTGGAATATGACCTCCAACTCACCAAAATAATGTTACTGCAAGTTAAGTTTAACCAAAGTTGAACACAGGTTCACTGCATGTTTTTGAGGATGTAACATCAAAAACGTGCACACATACTTAGCTCTTGGCCCACTTTGATAAACGCGTTAGCACTGGTTTGCGTGGCGAGTCCGAATAGTATGTTTCCAGTGCTGAGTGCATCAAAAATGCAATCCTTCTGCCCTTCACAGGTACTTTCAACTGCTGCCAGATTTTCTGGGCTCGTTTGATTCACGAGTTCTTCAAAAAACAGTGGCACAAAGCTATTGTTGTTGAAGGTGTACCAGCTCTCCCCAGTGCTGCTGTTATAGGAAAACAGGCTTGTGCTTGGTGTAGTTTTCCCTGCAAAGGTAATTGGAAACGGTGCTTTTTAATATGCAAGCAGTACCCATCATTATGCTCATTCTTGATACGTCATATTCAAAGCAATAAGTATAATTTACAAAAACACGTTGCACTACAGGACAACTTACAAGTCATGCCAAACTCATAAAATATTGTAGATTCTGGTGGTAATGTTCCATTGAATGGCAGCACAGTGCCATTTGAAGGTTGAAAGTCATCTGTGGGATCCTTGTTGAAAACACCTGTGTAGAAAATAATTAAAGTAAGTGTTGCGAATCTATAACCCCCAGAGCATGCCGTTTATATGTAGAACGTTCCTCAATGTTTCCAGACTGCATTGTCATGTGTAGTACAGGTACTACTTTTGTCTGCAAAGAGGCGCTGCATGTATGCATGTTTGTTTAAATTATTTCGCAACATACGTAGCCAACCGTACTCATCGGAGGTGCTGTAACAGTGGATGTGTCATTCAAGTAAAAGGCTGTGATCAGATGTATGGCAGATTTCATACAGTTATACAAGAACACCTGCATGTGTGAAAGCAATTTCATGCACGTTGGTCAAGAGATTCAAGCATGGTGATGCAAACATTTATATCAAGCCTAGGAGTGGCAGAACAAAAGTGGCAGCAACTTTAATTAACACACGACGGTGATGAAATAATTAATGCCAACCTGTGAGAGTTACAGACAAAACACAGGTGTATTGCAGATAGGTCACCATGCTGTGCAATAAATGTTGTCTGAATTGCTGTGTGTCCCCACGTACAGCCATACATCTTAGCAGCACCTTTCACTAAAAATCCGATCATAGCTTTCTGCGTGACACTTTTCTTTGCTCTTGTAGTGGCAGCCTCTGTGCAGCTTATACACGACACTAGACGGCACTGCAGCATTGCAACCAACTGAGAAACATGCTGGACAAAGGTGACTGTACTCGCCGCATATGTTTTTCGGTAAAATTAACCTCATGGAGTTTCGGTATGCACGTGTGACATTTTTTTATTTGACCAGGTAAAAACTCAGCACACCAGGAAAGTTACATGTCAAAGTGACCTGGGTCACTAGAATGACAAAAATAATAAATAAGGAAAATAAAAAAAAGATAATGTTTTGGGTAAGATCACTTTAGTATAAATGTGTCATAAACCCACCACCACCCAATATAGCCAATTAGTCAGGTTTGTCACGTAAACAAAACATGCCAAATAGTTACTACTTCAGAACACTGGTGTGTTGGAGAGTAAATGCACATTTATCATTTGAGTAGGACGTTTCGCTGGTAATTACATCCAGCATCATCGGGTGATTTTTCCAGAATTGACAACGGTGGGCTGAAGTAGTAACTAAATGGCATGTTTAGTTTACGTGACAAACCTTACTAATTATCTGTGTCGGATGGTGGTGGGTTAACAATACATTTATACTTATGCGATCTAACCCAAAAAAACCTTTAATATGAATAATATTGGTTGTGAAAGCCGAAGTGTCAAACTGAAACTCAAGGCAGTTAAAAAAAATGTATTTAACACAATGCTTGCTAAGTTGATACGTTTTAAGAAGGCACATGTTGTTTTATTATTTAGGACTGACATTCTACAATTTCGTGTGCCATTTGACGAACGATGAAGGGTCAAGATGTGAGATGCCATCAGTGATGTCTCACCTAGTAGGCCTAGTGTGCGGTTGATGAACGTTTCTGGCAGCAGAATGATGAAGCTGAGGGCCCCGTAAACCCCTGACACGTTCACGGAGATGCCCGACGGGAATGAGGCCATTAGGCCTGAAATTCCTGACCGCTGAATTGATGTTGAGTTTTTTATGAATGGAACATCTGCCAAGACAGCGGCAGCAGAATACAACAATTAGGGCATGTCACAATATATAGAATCATCAATTAAAATGAAATTTTACACTTGGAATAGTTTGATTTGTTTTTATTATTTAAGATGTATTAAATTGACAAGCACATCACATGCAAATGCTTGCATTTAAGTTAATTGACTTAATATTATTAATAAATATATACAAAATTACACATCAATCACAACATACAATACAAGAGGGGAAACACTATTGATTATTGAACTGAATTACAACTCTGAATAGTGACATTTCATCAATCACTGGGAGATTAATCAGTACATGTGTACATATGTATTTTGAATAAAGGTGTCAGTTTTTGTGTCAGTTAAAAGGGTAAAACCTATTACTATATCTTGTTACTGGCAAAGGTCTCATAATGTAAATGCTCACCCCGAGCCCTCAATACTCTGATAGTGCGCTGTTTTTGAGTTGTACGCCTTTTGGCGTCTTCTGGTCCAACACCAGTGGAGACTAGGCTCTAAGAAAAGCCGTCTCGGGTGTGGACCAATCAAATTCAAGGACAGTGCATATTATCAGAGTTGTCTCTTTTGTTTGCATTTTGACTGCTTGTGTTGTGGTTATTGCAAACATGATGCCTTGAATAAAGGTGTCAGTTTTTGTGCCAGTTAAAAGGGTAAAACCTATTACTACAGTACATATGTGTCTATGGATGATAATGAAGGGCAATTCTTTATGCGGACAGTCAAAAGTATAAAAAAAGGAAAATTTTACGCTTAATTATTTTTATTACTTATATTCTCTATAATTATGCTGATGACGATTACAGTATTATATTTTAGTGTGTTTTTTTATGCAAAGTATCTCTATGTATGTGTGAAAGTAAGCATACACGTCGGTTGTAAATTATATGTACTATTTTTTATCTAGGCTGAGGATGCATGTAAATGTCTACACACACAATACAATTATAACTTTATTTAATATATCATTAAAAAAATACGTCCTCACATCCAAAAGGATGCATTTATATATTGACAGCATTGTCACATACAGTACACTACTTTGAATGTGAATTACACATTATAATGTGTGCCTCATAAGATACAAATAATAATGATAAACTGTACTGCTCCAAAAGTTACCTGTTACATTCACAGCTTCGTCGTTTAAAAAGACTGCAGTGCTGTTATCTCCGAGTATCCACTGCACCTGTTTAAATTAATAATAATTGTAAACATACATAGAAACATGATCCGGCAAAAACCGCTCCGGAGGCTGTGGCCCAGTCCATAATAGATTAAAAATAATAATAACCAAATAATAACGACCGTCAAACACAATCATGTTGATGAAACAAGAGCGTAGGAGTACGTACTACATCAGCCCCATGCCACCCTTCCGAGATTGGAGTGGTAAGTACAACAGTAAAAAACGGTAACTTTTACAGCAGGATATTTATTTTTCACTCTTTGTACGTTTATTTATGCCAATTTCAAACAAATTTTAAACAAAAAATAACATACACATGACACCTAAAAACAATGGTTTTCAAGGATGTGGAAAAATAAGCTATTTTAAATCATGATTATTAGTGATTATCCGGCGTTTTTTTTTTTAATCCGGCGCTCCCTCCCCCGAAAATCGATATTCTATGATCTACCTCATACCGTATATGTCATTTTGTTGCGAGACCCTTCATATAGGTCCTCAGTATTTTTGGTACGACAGTATAATGGTACACCTGTTGGTATGTCCATCATGTGCCATAGCAGTTTAGTGTGTTTGCAAAGAAAGTCATATGGGACTTTGGAAATAAGTTTGGTCATGAATTAGTAAGCTAACTCGGCAATGTCATACTGCTTGTTTAACATGCAGTGCATTTACAGCCTTTTTTGTCAATCCACTGCTGGGTGAGGGCCTTCCCATGCCATGTGGTTGTGGGAGATGTTTCATATTTCTCCACGCTGGTTCAGTACTGTACTGCTTGGTGAATGTGGGCCAGAATGTATTCATATATCACTCGCTACTAACGTTGATTATAGCCAGGAGTCAAACCCAGGTAACTCGTGTTTCATATCGCTGTGCTAATCACCTGCACTACTTCGCACCCAGTTACAGTTACTGTAACAGTTCCTTCATAGTACACGTTTATATCTATCTTCTTAACAGTGTGATTCATTGGTAGACACTATATGAGACTGGAAATGCATGTGAACGTATGGAGTAACATAGACCACAGCAAGACCACAGTTATTTTACAATCTGTGCAGACATATTGCAGATAAAGTACCGTGTAACCCTATACATGTGCATTACAGGGAGATTTACACCATTGTAAATCACACTGGCCATGCATACCTTGGCTCCCCCCGTCTCGTGCGCGACAAGAGCTACAAAGGAGGTGGCTTTGAAGGTCCCATTGGTGCCTGCAACATCAGTCCGGCCCTGCAGGATTAACTCGCTGCCATTCTCTCCGAATGCGTGAAGAACGGTGAACTCCCCGAGGCCGTTGAAGGTATACGAGACGTTGTCCAGCGTCGTAATGTGGGGGTCACCGATTAGGAATGCTGAAACGGAAATTAAACAGAAAACAGTGTCAGACCCCAGTTGATGTCCAATGCACGGTAGTATAGCACAACGCTTGAGTACTGCGCATTGACAAATGTACAAAAGTGTGATGATGGCACAATGTAGGCACCGAAGTTAATTGGAAAAAAATAAGTGAATCAATATTACGGCTAAATATATTGCTTTTACAGATGCCCGTGCCTCAAAGTTATAGTGTCAGTAGGTGGATGTCTTTATGCAGCAGAAGTGGATTGAAATTACATTATAGGATTGTAAATGTATTTTTAGTGTATGACCAGATACAATATATGTAATGAAATCCCTATTACAAGAGGAAATACTGTTTTGGCAACTTTGTAGCATGAACTTACATAGGAAGCTAATATAATAACGAGCATTTTTGGGAACATAGGAAAGATACGTGACAAAATGTGTGGTAGCTAAAGCCATAAGGCAATTCTGAGCAACGATTACAAGGCACATTCATAGTTTGACGCTTCGATTAGAACCAAAGTTTTTTGTACATTAACAGTGCACGGTGATGTGACAGGATTGCTAAAATTCCATGTGCCCTCGTTGCCTCTTTCAGGTGCAGCAACAGAGTTACCCCCAACCACGCAGACCATCCACATCCCTTCATACACCACGCATTGTTGCAGCTGGTGCTGTTTCTTTAACTCACCGTGGAGATCAACCCTCTCGATGTGATTCATTTTTGGAGGCCAAATTCCCTGTTGAACTAGGACATCAGTGCCATCAGAAGCTGATGTCCAGCCATGAGAGGTGTACTTCTTATACATTCGGAAATAAATTGTCGGGAAAGATTCATATCTGTTATTTTGGATCATATGGATGTCAGTCTCTTCCAACGGGTGGATGCTATCCCTCGCACACAATTCGTTTTCGGCTCCTCAGTTCAAGAACTGCATCGAGTGTGCATGGTTCAAATCGGGATACATCGATCACAGGCCCAAGTCACACCTCTCAAACCAGTTAAATATTGTTTATCAATGGACATCTTTAAACAAAACTGTCCGATAGTTGTGGAAATAAAAAGGAAAGCCTTTCCTGTGTTTATCATTTTGATACTGTACTGGCCAAAAAGGTCCCATAGATATAAACTGCTTAACCTGAGGTATTTATACTTTGGCGATACATTGTCCTTGCATTGATCGCCTTATGGCGTTTTCTGTTATGTTGGTGAGATAAAGCCATAAAGCAGTCTGTCTCTTGTGTAGGCCAATCAGTTTAAATGACAATGCGTTCATTACCAAAGCATATTTATTTGCATGTTTCACCACAGGTATGTGAGGTTAATGCAGACTTGATGCCAAGTAATGGGTGTCTTTTTGGTGGTTAAACATTTTTACACTATTATTTCCTGAAAGGGTAAAGGTTTTTCTTTTTTCATCATCTTGATAGTGGCAAAATGGGTCCCATGGATTTAACTGGATTGGCAGACAGCTATGGAGCTAAGGACCCGGGAAATGCTCAACAGAAGTCATGGGTCGGTTCGAGACCATTCATCGAAAGGAAGGCAGGATTGTTTTTGCATGATGCGGCGGTTAGGAAGAATCAAGAACCATTTAAAAAAATCATTTAAGGACACATTACAAGAGGTCAGAGTGCTTTTGAGTATCGGTTCTCTACAAGTGTGGTGTTACTTTGTCGCTCGGCATAATAAAGAAGCCCTTTCAGTAATCACGTTGTCGAGGTCCTTTTAAAAGTAGCACAGCAACATTCAGTTCAGAATAGCATGTTATGACGAGCTGCATAGCATCTATGATTAAGAAGAAATATGAGCCAGTGTTTTGAATGTTTTAATGAATCGCACGCCTTGTGGTGCTTACTGATACAACTCAGTGTTCATATTTCCCGCAAAACCTGAGTGACTCTCATGACAAAAGCAGTATGGTATGAATTATAGAGCTATATAATGTGTTAATTAATGCAGCAATTGAAGGAGAGATGTCTTCAACACTGTGCGAGGTAAAAGCTTGATGACAAGTTTTTGGCAGAGAGATGTATGAAAGGCAAGAAAAGAGAGCAAGAGGAAAGAAGGGGACGATAATGTTGTAGAAGCTGAAGAATGGAAGGATGAATTAGGAGACATGTAAAGAAAGAGCAAAAGCATAACATTTGGAGAAAGGAGCAAAGACTATTTCTTTCTAGCACCCACCAGTGTACACAGAACACCAATTGAATTGCATGCAATGTATGTTAGACACATATGGCTTTAGCTAATGAAACTCACCAGAGATGGGTGGCCTATAGAAAGTACACTGGTTACGAGGGCGCCTTTGCTGATATAGCTCGCACAGCCTGCTCTCTCCAGATTTTTGACAGCAGGATCTGTAGGGTTCCAGTTCGTTTGCTAAAAGGAGTACAAAGACACACACACATAAGAAAATGGAGAATTTAAATGTATGTAGACTCTGGAATTGTGACTGCATCTTTAGATGCTGTACACAAGGAGTGGGCATATTTTTATTTAGAAAGCATGCCCCACAGAAAGCCAATCAAATCTACATTTCATACATCATTTGTTGGTCTTTCACGTGTATTTTTCAACAGTTACTTAAACTCGCTGGTATAGTTTAACATACCACTGGGCTATTTCTAGAAAATATCGATTGAACTGATTCAGTGTGCAATGTTAACAAACCTACTGCACAAAAAATATGGAAAAAAATACACATTGCTTCTTGTACTTTACTGTCAAAACAGAAAGACATTAAACTCGGTACACGCAATCCTACAACAACATTCTTTGTGGGCATTCTGAGTACATTCTTCACTCTATCATTTCCCAATTTTAGCTGTGAACAGTGATAGCATATGAACTTCAAAGGTGACATCTCTGTAAAGCTACATCCAGTTTTCGTTGAAAAGGTATACACAGGAGCTATGTTTGGTTTGTCAAGATGATCGTTGCAATGAATCGTCTACACTATTCAAAGAGTGACGTTAAACTGCCCTGTTGGGGTGTTGGTTTACTTTATAACGTACCTAAGATGCTCCCATCTTGTAAATGTGTAGCATTACCATGGGTTCAGAGAAGGACATTTTATAGTGTTGACTCACTAAAACTTGATTTAACACAGCGCCATTCATACAAGGCCTCACAGCGCTCAACATAAATAACCCAACCCTTAACAAACCCTTGACATAGAAACCTGAACATTTTGTTTCTTCTTGAGGTGTTGTTTCGGTGCAACATTTGAAATATTTCCTTTTTTACACCTACTATAGAAAAACATTGTTGTATGTTTGTGATATTTTATGCCTTGGCACAAGTGGGTTATTGTTGGATATATTTACAGACATAGGCCTGAAAAAGATTCTATTTTGTTGAAAGAGAGGAGGCATACATCTACAATATATACTTGGGAAACTCTGAGGTACAGTTTATGAAACATTCTCTCTAAATCCATCCTTCGAAGCTTTTATTACACCAAAACATGACTCACCTAGATAGTGCTGCCTCTCTTGTGGTAACCAGACATTGTGCATCCAATCGTAGAATCCGGCCCTTTGGTAATTACTAATGACATAGAGAGACCATTCATTGACGGGAGGATTCCACGGGGTGGGTAGATGCCTTTCATACCACCCGGACATGAGTGCCCCCAGCCTGTTGTAGTAGCACCTCACGCCTCCCCCAAAACGGTTTTTACTGAAGCTTTGTAAGATCCAGCGCGCACCTAATGATAACGCAAAAGTGAACAGCAAAAAAAATCCATCACAATTTTTACAAAAATCAGATTGATACAAAAAATGCACGCCGCAGTATTACATTTAATTTCGATACACGTTTCATGACTTTGAAAGTTCGGCATCGTACTTTTAAACAAAGCCTGCGGCGTTAAATTGCACGTAATTTAACAGGACCGATTTGAAACTTTATGTCATGCGAGAAAGAGTAGAAAACATGCCAAAACATTTACATTACTTTTGCTTTTTGGGTCAGGTTACGTTTTTTTTTGCCTTAGTCATTTTATCTGTATATTTAGTAGTGTTCTATGCAACAAATAATAAACTTAATTTACAGTGACTAATTTCAGTATTTTATTTGCAGTGTGCTCGATTGCATTTCACTTAATACCATTAGACAAATGTATTGAAAGTAAGACTTTGCAAAAGCTATGTTTAATATGGTGCAGTTTACAATTGTGTATCAGAAGCCATGCTGCTAGTAGATTACCTGGGACGTAGTGAACATCAAAGGAGTAGTAGAGGCTTATTAGGTTGCCATCAATGTAGTTACTGTCAAACACTCCTTGCTGATAGGAGCAGGGACAAGAGGTGAAGTAGGCCAAGGGAGGAAGGGCTGTCTCATTCCTGACCCACTCTAGGCATTGACGCTTTGGGTTGGTTATGCTGAGTGAGTTATTTTCCAGCCTGTAAGCCCACCTTCCCTTTAAACCTGCAATACATAATTTTGCTCAATGTAAAAAATACAGTCACTTTATGAACAGGTGAAAATATTTATTGCTGAGATTAATATTGTCATGAAAAAAATCATCAAACATATCAAAGGGTGATTCACAAAATTTAATGTAAGCACCCCTTATTGATGCGATGCAGCAATTAATAGGAGGCTGAATATTATTCCTACTCCTAGTGTACACATGGTGCAACACAATAAAAAATGTACATATCATTAACTTTGGTGTTCAAATGTTACCGAATTACATACCTGTGTCTAGTCCAATAGCCTGGTCTGGACGATAACGAACCGAAATATTTCCCCTCGAAAGTGGATGATTATAGTAGAGCTCCTTGGTTCCACTGCACACAAAAGGGTAGAATAGGTAGAACAGAAATGTGTGAATGAATGAGAAACTATTAATCCACTTTTAAGATCTGAGATCGGGTCCATTCTGGGTGATTTTGTCACAGGCAATGTCACTTTTAACAGCACATATCGTTATACAAAATGTATGTTTGCCATTCATGAAGCCAATATAAATAACCTTCGTGTTATTCTTAGTTTTTTCGGTAAAGTCACGTTGAAGGGAAACAACAAAATAATAAAAAATATATAAAACAATAAAAAATTCTCACGTTTCGACCATTTGAGTTATGGTCGAAACGTCGTGATAATTTTTTATTGTTATATATATTTTATTATTTTGTTGTTTCCCTTCAACGTGACTTTACCGAAAAAACTAAGAATATGAATTACTGCAGTCACGAAAGCTTTAAATCAAAACCTTCGTGTTATAAATATAAATCAGTGCATCAAAGGTGATAAATGCCTTCATGCTGCCATATCCATTCACCTGTGAAATCCCATTAGTGCATTGTTGGTATTTGGGTCTCTGGTCTCTGGCCTCCACAGCATGCCTCCATCTTTAAACATTATTAGGCAGAATGAGAAGACGCCATCCGTATTCAGGACAGCCTGGAAGGTATTTGTCTGAAATAGAAATAAAAGCAAGTAAAAATGTAATTATGCAGCCCTGCAATGTCTTGCTCACTCCAGTGATGGTGAAAGGTCTCCTGCATGTAATGCAGAATGTAATAATGGACAAAGTCTATCTAAGGTTATATCACAGTCAATTATATTATATAATAAATATATATTCTATATCACTCTAAAAAAATTGGAATGAAATTGAGGACATGAGCTCTATTTGATGATAACTGGTTAATTGTTGTCATGCTACACGGTAACACATTTTTTTAAAATTTAACGGATTGTTATTTTATGTCACGGAGAGAAAAAGAGCATCTGATGTATGCACGTATGTTGAACTTCTTTCACACCATACGTAGCCAACCGTGCTATCCTTCAAAAAGGATAAAACATTCAAAATGGACAGGTTAGATGTGTTATCAAAGAAAGGCCGTACATTTGCCAAGTTATTCCTGGCAGGTACAGCTGGGGCCTCCTTCCAGGTGATCTTCAGCATCCAAGTGGGATCATAGTTCTGTAAGTCTGGTTGACTGCTGCTGCTGAAGTTGGCCCGGATCTGGGCCTTCACTCTTTCACGGAGGTCCTGGGCGTGCATGGTCGGGGGGTTGCTGTTTTTTGTAAAATCGTACTCCTGCCAACAGACCACAGTTGCAGTTGGAATCAGTAGCTGTGTTATTGGTTCTATTTATACATGTAATATTTATTTAAATAACATCATCACCAGATACAAACAATATTTCAAATGTGACTTTTCAACAACAGCAAAATCATGCATTTAAAAAACAAGAGTTGTCTCAACAACATGAGCATTCTCAACATTTTCATTGAACAAATCTGAGATGTAAGCGACAGGATATACAGTCGATTAAAAAATACTGAAGATATGTAGTAAGTCCTTGAAAAGTCAATATCCTATAAGAAGTCAATATGCTTTATTTAACCAGGAGTTAAACAAACAATTGAGATATTACATTTTTTGCAAGGGTGACCCGGTTCACATTTATTAATTATAGAATTTGTAGAAACACGACATCCTTTACTTCGTATAATTGATACAAACAAATTATAATAAGACTTATCAGGTCAATAACAATAAGCCATTGCATATACCTACTGTAACCAATTTAGCATACCACCAGACATCTTCTGTAGTGAGTGTGAAAGGATGATTCACTGGCTCTGTCTTAATTAAAATATTCCAAAGTGAAAATTCTATAAATACCTTTTGCCACCAACACCCAACTATTATGTAATTACACATTTTTCTGGTACCTCTTTTCACGTGGACTTATGGGGTATAGAATGTCAGACATGTCCCACAAGATTTCGTGTATGTATGGCTGCATACGTTCTCCTCTTTCATTGTTTTTTTTATTGAATGCTCTATAATCCATTGCATTACCGCACAGTGGTTTTTAAAGCCTGACTTTTTTCTGGTCAATACATTTTTTTAAAAACGTAAATGTGTACATAGAAATCCTGTACGCACCTGGAAATACATCGTCCCGTTGTCTGATGAAAAATCGGAATCATCCCAGAAAACAGCAACCATGGGAACAGTGAATGAACTCGTAAATCCATTTTTGATGGGGTTGGGAAAGGCGAACCGTGTAGGATTGTCACCTTCTTTGAACACAATCAACCCATTGTCTGAAAACTGTGGTTGAAAATAAATATACAAAGATCAAATAACAAATAGGTTCACACGAGTGCAAAACTTGCATACATCAATATAAAAAATATTACAAATATTAATACTATTATGAGTAATAGATAAAATAACTGCTTTAAAAGTGCATGATGGTTTCAGAGAAATGTATGTAAATTGACTGACTTTTAAATAGTTGGGCATGTTACTGGCTATCATTCTTCATTCAGCAACAAGCTCAGAGCTGCTTAAATACATTATTATGCCAATGTTTCATTTCACAACAGCGTAAAGTGGGTACATATCTATTTTTGTGCATTCCTATTTACATGCAGACTGCAAAGAATGGCAGTGTGATGAATAATTTACAAGTGAGCTTGTATATATGAATGACGGCTATGGGTAGTCTAAACATATTACATGATTATTACCATGACATTTTTTAAATCTGGTATTTTACATACTTTGGTAATAGACCACAACATTTGACAATTTTAACATAACCATAATTACTCACATACAACTGTTGGTAGAACTTTGAAGAAAATGGAAACCCATAGGGAGGTGTGAAGGAAGGAGACACGAAATCTGTTAACCTGACTTTTAATTCTCGGTCATTCACTTCTGGACCATAATCAAAAAGTCTGTTTTCTGTGAAATGGGGGAGAATGCAATATATTTATAATTATATACATATCACACCTGACATACATTCACTGAAATAATATTGCATTATTTCAATCACCTTTCTCAAAAACGGATTAAAAGGTTAATGCGCCAAGCATAAATTAAAAGTAGATTTTGACTTAAAACTTTTGTGACTGCAGGAATTTATATTCTTTGATTCTTTCGTTAAAGTCACGTAGATAGAAAAATAATATAAAAAAATAAGTGAATAGAAAACAAATCTAAATAATAACAAAAAAAACACTAATACAGACTGTAGCCTGGTTCTTAACCTGAGTGATCACATAAGTCTACATTATCGACTGTCAGTGCGCTCACCCAGGTTAATAACCAGGCTATAGTCTACATTATATGCTGCCAGTACGCTCACTCAGTTTAATAACCATTGCTACAGTCTACATTATAGACTGCCAATACGCTAACCAGCATAAAACCAGGCTACAGTCTACATTATCGACGTTCAGTGAGCTCACTCAGGTTAAGAACCAGGCTACAGTCTACATTATCGAATGTCAGTGCGCTCACCCAGGTTAAGAACCAGGCTACAGTCTACATTATAGACTGCCAGTACGCTCACTCAGTTTAATAACCATTGCTACAGTCTACATTATCGACTGTCAGTGTGCTCACTCAGGTTAAGAGCCAGTCATAAGTCTACATTATAGACTGCCAGTACGTTCACTCAGTTTAATAACCATTGCTACAGTCTACATTATAGACTGCCAATACGCTCACTTTGATTAAGAACTAATAAAAGAAAAATTATAAAAACAAAAACGACATTAGTCGTTTTTGTTTTTATAACAAAATGACATTAGTCGTTTTTGTTTTTATAATTTTTATTTTATTATTTGTATTAACTTTGATTTTTTTTATTATTATGTTTCTATCTACATGACTTTACCGGAAGAACCAAAGAATATATGAGTCAATTGATAAGCAAATGTAAAAGGTTGCTTTAAATACAGTAGTTGTGTAAATTTTACCATAACATTCGATGCCGTCTCCAGAATAGCCAGCGATACACTGACAACTGTAAGAGCCAGGTGTGTTGATACAGACCCCCAGGGTTCTATGGCACCGGAAGGACCCTCCTTCGCACTCGTTAGTATCTGCACATAAAAATGCACACGTGAATAGGTCTTTTGTTATGATTGCTTCCTGGATACATGAACAGAAATGTTACATCTTTTCTAAAGGAGGTTACAGCCAACATATGGAATGAGTTTATATTTCCATATTACTGATCATTCTGGGCAGTTTAAAAACGTGGCATATTCAGATGGTGACATCAACAGGCAGTGATGCTGACATGTTTTAGGAATGCTCACATAATTACTTTTCCGTAACTTTTATGCATGAAAACATCAAATATGAAATCATTTGAACATTTGTGGATAACACATTGCAAACAAATCACTTTTAAGGATGTAAATTGATTGGCAATTTGATTAGTAATTATCACGATGTAATTAAAATCATTTTACTGTCATGGCATTAATTTCAAGGTAGCAATTAATTTTCTGAAATCAATAATATATTACTAAGAGGACCGAATGATAGACTTACGTGAAATTGATCTGAATTGTATTAAGCATGTAAAAAAGTATATCTTACCAATGGAACAGGTATCACCACTCCATCCATCTAAACATCTGCATGTGAAATTGCCAATGCCATCCACACATGTTGCATTATTCTGACATGTATTTCCAGGGCAGTCGTCAATATCTTTGAGGGGAAAAAGGAAAACAATACATAATTCAAATATTCGACAATATGGTTGATTTAAAAAAAAAACTTGGCATCGGCCAAATATATGAAACTCGTCACAATGTTTTTCCAATATAAAAAAAAATGACATCCATGTTAAACAATACTGATGAATAGACAGCAGTCTCTCACTTACCCAACCGGGACCAGGTGTGAATTGAAGGGAAGTAGTACCACAATGACTGGTAGTTATCACGATAGCACAGTGCCTTAAGGTCACGCTTGGATGATAGAGGATTGATTTTTTCATAATCGAAGAATTAAATTAGAGTCAGAATATTTAAACTGGAGGTGTCTGATGAGATATAAAGCTCCTTTTCGCAGATGTCCAGTAGAGGCAGGTCAGAACGTTACAACAATAAACAATACAAAAACATAATTGAAGTGAAAAGTATAGAAATAGTAAAGAAATCACTTAAAAAATACAAATAAAACTAAACTGTTTTTTTTTTAATCTTACCACGTAAAGCTCATTGAGCTATTTCAGAAGCCACCTGGCCATAAATAATAGCTCAACGAAGTGGCTTATCATGTGGAAATTTATAGCAGCAAAATAATCTGAATAATCTAAACACATGTTTCTGAATTTGGAAGGAAAACCCCAGAGGACCTGGAGAAAAAATCCACACCACCACTGGGAAAACTTGCAAATTACAAAAATACAGGTGCCAGGATAGAACCCCTGACCTCCTGCATACCAGGCAAGGAAAATAACATCACACCACCATGGCACCCTTGGTTTCAGTCAGCCCACAATACACAGCCTTGGTTTGTATCTGCAACTGCTGCTCAGTGTCTAGTGGGCTAATTAAAGCAGCAAAACGATAAGACATTGAGAATTATTTAGTAATGCTGTATTGGAAGCCGTGGTGCGCAAGTACAATGAACACCGCCTTGAACATATATCACACTATGTAACACGATTTTTGTTCCTGGTTAGTAAGTGTTATTTTCTAATTGCTTATGCCTCAAAAGTATAGAAAATAGTTATTATTCCCCATATATATTTTGTTCTTCTAATTCAGATACGTTGGCAAATATATTGCGTTGGCTTTTGACACTGAGAACAGTCCTCCATCACCTCACTTCGACGATGTGCTGCCCATTTTCAAACTGGAAAGTGCATAACGTTGGGGAGAAAACAACGTGTGATCATCTCACACTTGACCACATGAGCGCTTACTATATTCGCAGAATTCTCCCATGAACCCTGGGGCACAAGTGCAGTTGACTCCATCGACAAGATCGTTGCAAGTTCCATCATTTAGGCACAGCGGCATGTCATTGCAGTCGTCAACGTCTGCATCAAAACAATACATTGTTGCAGATGAAGGGTTACATGTGAGACCAATACTTTTTAAACATCTTGTGAAACAGTAAAAAAACTAAAATTGAAATGTTCAGCATTTATAGTTCATAAATAGGCCGATGGCATATGCCAACACACAAGATCGACAAGTATACATGTATCGCGCTTATGTAGATGTGTATATTTAGTGCCTGGAGTTTCAAATAATGTAACACTGAACTGTTTATTATCAGTGTAAATCATGAGTGAAGTAGAATAATTAAGCGTAAACAATTATTTACGTAAACGTTTACATTTCCCCTAATTTCTTAATGAGATTTGAATGCGATTAACATACGTTATGCAATATGCTACAGTGTGCCCTATTAACATTTCCCCTAATTTCTTAATGAGATTTGAATGCGATTAACATACGTTATGCAATATGCTACAGTGTGCCCTATTAGTAAATTAGTTGTCAAGGTAGCTTTCATCATGAAGAAGTTAAAGTTGTGTGAAATTGTGGTACATTCAAATTCCCCTCTATATGCCATGAAAGCACAGTATATAACAATTTCCAAGCTATTGACGGGGTCAAAATTAATCTTAAGAGGGATTGCTTGACAAGCAATGGGAGTCTTCTTAATCATTCGCAATGATTTGGCAACACCATGGTTGTGGATTATAGCATGGTGGAATGTTTGTATAATCTACACACTTCCAAGCAAGATAACGACATTACTCAACACTGATTTAGTGCAGCAGTATAGGTTACACTAGGGTATATAAGTGTATTACTACAGTGTCCATCATTGTTGAATTGATTGATCCATCTTGCCATGTTTGCTGTACCTTTACACAACACTTTGGACTGTTGTAAAAAAGGGTAAGCGTACAGACGGCAGAAAAAAACCACACACATTAAAAAAAAGTTGTAAGGTAGCGGACAAAGGAAATGTGTAGTTTGCAAATACTGTATAATATACAACACTGTGATCTCACTTGGCTCTCGACGGTTTGATTGGATTACAAAATAGGCGCAGCTATGACTTTAAATCAAATATGCTTGGCTAATACTAAAGTGTGTGCATTATACACAGGTGTGACATCAAAGTGAGGGGCGGTGGCACTGTATTTGCGCATTAACAAAGAACCTGGCAACCCAAGATACGTAAGTTCCCTGTCATGGCAACATGAGTGGCAAATTACAAACCTGCACTGCCCACTTTGGTGAAGTATGGTCAAAACAGCAGTGATGTGGGCCTTCATCCAGCAGATAATGTATGAAGATATGTAAATCACCATTAATAACAGTGTTATAATATAATAACGGTTTCCCCTGCTGATTGCCTGTCTTAAAATTTGTTCTGCTTGATGCAGATTTAATGTTTTCCCACAGCTTAATCAATTCATACACCACAGACTCATTGGTAAGATAAAGGAGAATGTGCCGGCATAGAGTATGTAGGAATTTAAGGAACTTACTTTTGTCACAGAAGTTTCCTGTCCATCCCTTGGCACATTCACAGAAGAATACATTGACTCCATCCACACACTGACCGTGCATGCAAGGATTTGACATGCAGTCATTAACATCTGAAAAACACGCATTATTTTAACTTAATCCAGGCATCAAACAAACAGATCACTCTGCAAATTACAATAAATTAGATTTGTTGCAGACTTATTTTGAAAAAAGTGGCGGTTTTTTACGATTTTTTTTCAAATTTTCTTGCTGTGGTTTTCACACCTGATGATGATTGCTTGTGTTGCAGTCGAAATGTCGTGAGAATTTTATTGTTTTATATTTTTATTATTTTATTGTTTCCCTTCTACGTGACTTTACCAAAAGAACCAAGAATACAAAAACATATTCTTAGTAAAGTCACGTTGAAGAGAAACAACAAAATAGAATATGAATTACTGCAGTCACGAAAGCTTTAAATCAAAATACAAAAACAGTTTAACATGTAGTCTTTCGCCTACATGTTTTGTCAACGTGACACTTTTTTCGCTGATTGGCCGTGTCGGGTGGTGGAGGGTTACGACACATTTATAAATAAACGCGATCTAACCCAAAAACCTTTATTATGAATACAAAAACAATTGTACATAGTATATTGAGAGCAACTTAATTTTAAGCATTTGTTCAATTCCACAGCAGTGGAAATATAACTTTACTGAAAGAACCAAAGAGTATGAATCAGAAACTGATAATCACAACATTCGGGCTTTTCAGATATGTTTTTTACACACCAGGTTTATGGAATACCTTAAAGAGAAAATTTCATCATCTTAAAATGTTGTTATCATGATACCGACCAACACATTCCGAGCAACAACATACTTTCTGAGCAGAGGAGTCCAGTCCAGCCTGTTAAACATTCACAGGTGAATGACCCCGGGGTATTATTACAGCTGCTCCCGTATTTGCAAGGGCTTGTAAGGCATTCATTTATATCTGTGACAAAAGGGTAAAAAAGTTAGTGTAAATTATTTGTGAACACAACATTGGATTTAAATAGCACTGCCACCTCTCCATAGTGTTTACACCTGGATGTGAGTATTTGATTACACTGTGTTGGCAGCGGTGCATGAGCACAAAAAGCAAAACAGTAAACAAATTAATCAATAACACCTTGGCCTTAAATGATTAGTATGGACAATACGTATACAGTACAGGTTTCATATGGATCTCCTCGGATGTTCAGGAGCACATGTCTAATATGCAGCACATGTGGGATCTGGTAGAAGGTACAAAGTATTGGCAAAGTGCAGGGCATAAATGGCTTTGGTCATGATGACATCTTGATCTCCTCTGAATTATGTGACTTGTTTAGTAGGTTGTGCTATTTTACAACTGCATACGACTTTGAAGTAAAACACTTTTATGCGTGGTCATTGTTCACATTTGTTAAATTCAAAGGAGGCAACTGTACCTCTTCATGGTATTTGTTGTCATATTTACCAATGAGTAAATGTACGCAGTGTCTTCAGCTAAATTATATTTTCAATGATGAGTAACGACAAATAGAAGAACTGAGAGTGATTGCACAAATATTGATGTTTAAGCAACCAGAAAAAAAATCATAGTTTATACAACCAGTAGGAAACGCGGTGGCATTCAAATGCTAAAGGCCTCAAAGCATTTGCTTAAAACTGGGTTCACCACAACCTTTGTTTATTATTTTTTAAAGTGTCTCTCAGATATATTGTATGCTTATCTATTTTGTTATTATATATAACGACGCTCATTCTTATTTTTTAGTTTGTATTTTGTAAATTTTGCTTAATTTGAACTAGAACATATCTTAAAGAAGGGTCCTTGCTTACAGCATCTGGCAAGTTCGCCAGTGTCGGTTCAGGCAGGGCTGGCTCTCCCAGTGGGATGCTCTGTGTAGGGACTGGTCCACAGCGTTTCTGGTGCTGAATCAATACTGTGGCTACGTGGGCTGACGTTCACTCACGTAACATTGACATCGATATGTAGTAGTTTTATTATTTATTTAACTTGGGTATCTGGTACTTTGTGTAAAAGCATTCGCTAAATAAAAAGAATGCTACTGAAATCATTCAATGTCAGTATTGTCTTGCTTATACATATTGCCTTGCTTATCTAATTTGTTATTTATATTCTCCATGACACTAATGCTTATTTTTTGAGTTATGTATTTTTTAAAGGTCACTGCAAAAACTCATTACTAAGCACCGTGAATTGAATAAATAACTGTGCTTTTAATCTTACATGTTACTTGGTGATGCTCCATTGGCAGTGGTGCACATCCACATTAAACAAAATAAAGATTCGTCAACAATATTGCCTTAAAATTATAAAAAAATATAATCGTTCACGTTTTAGGCAATGACCATTCTTCCATAGCACACTTCATCTGCTATGGAAGAAGGGTCTTTAATCAATACTAAAACGAAGCCTAAACTTTTTATTTTAGCAGGTAAAGCCCACTGAGCTATATATTTACTTTTCATATAAGCAACCTGGCTACAAATGATAGCTCAAAGTTGATTGTGTGGAAATTTATAGCAGCCAAATATTCTAAACGCATGTTGATTCCAAATGTGGTGAGGAAAAAAGACAAGAGGACCCGGAGAATAATCTTCGCGACCACGGGGAGAACATGCAAACTCCAAATATACAGGCGTCAGGGTGGTGATGGAACCCACACGTTATCATATCCCCCAGCTGAGTTCAAATAGCAAAAGTCACGCTACCCGAAACTAAAAACTGTTGCAATAAAGGGCAGGTAACGAGTTTGTTCAAATACGGCAAGATTATCAGTGAATACTAACGTGTCAGCAAAGTTTGCGCAATTCTTTGGGATGGCTTCATCCCTCGAGACGTTTTGTATTTTTATAATACACAGATACGTTTGTTACATGAACCAGCCATCATCATATAAAATCAGCAATGACTCAAGAGCCCATATAAAAAAAAAACATGTACGCTGTTTGTCGTTAACACCACTTTGAATTAGAACAATGGGCAACAGTAGTGATTTTATAATCGTCTAGTGTAGGAAGCCAGTTGTAATGGCAGCACAAAGGTTGGGCGACTCCACCCAAGCGCCTGTTACGCATTCGCTTTATGTGTGGACGAACTGGTTTCTGCTTGAACACGCCATTGGTCGTACAATTTATGACTTTATGTGGTCGTATTCAGTTATACGTTGCCTTGGTACACACCATAACCAAGTGTCGTAAATGTATGCAAATGTAATTACAGTTGCATACATTCTAATAAAAGAGCTACTATTTTCTGACTGCTTTCTTTTTGTCATCGTTCAAAAGGCGATTAACTACACCCTATTGCATTGTTAAAAAACGGGTATTTTTTTAGTTTTCACTTACTCGAATGAACGGTGATACTGGTAGGAACCTCCTGGTTACACCAGCCCACAGGGGATTATTGTGTCCGTCCGTCGTGGATCCAAAAATGGGTGGGGAGGGGCAGGGTGGGGAGGGGCTGGGTGGGGAAGGTGGGGAGGGGCTGGGTGGGGAGGGTGGGGAGGGGCTGGGTGGAGAGGGGAGGGTGGGGAGGGGCTGGGTGGGGAAGGTGGGGAGGGGCTGGGTGGGGAGGGGAGGGCGGGGAGGGGCTGGGTGGAGAGGGTGGGGCTGGGTTGGGGGTGGGAGGGTTGGGGCTGGGTGGGGAGGGGCTGGTCACCCCGTGGTGCCCTTATAAAACTCAACGTTTAACCTACTCACGCCGGCTTGTGCCCGCCCTCACAGTCGGGCATATTTGCGGAATACACCACGTGGTGCCGCCGTTGACCCTGGCCATTGACCGAGCAACCCAACGTTCCTACCAGCTCCCTCCGCAGGAATGTGTAATATATGCATCGGGCTTGCTTACCATATTGGTACTCGTTTGAAAAGGTTCAGTAGATCATATATCGTTCCATAATGTTTACAGAATGTAATTTAAGTTGAAAATTAGACATTATATAGAGCCCTGTGTGTTACTTTCAAATATATATAAAAGGGAAATTTGTGATTGTGTGTCTGTTCAAAATGTTTAGCATACTTCCCGACATGCAACAAACTTGACATTTGGCATGTGGGTACTTTCCAGACTGTACACCACGAAAACATAAAAATAGACTTTTGCATTTTTTGGGGGTGGGGGGGGCAATAATGGATATATTTTGCACGGCAAGTGAGCTGTGACGTCACATCTCTGTCACGGCACCCGCACATGCGGAAGCGTAACGCAGTGTGCCTGCTGATGTCACGCATCCCCCCTAACCCTCCGCGAGTAAAGTGCCATACAAATGTATTGCAGGTCTAAGGCGTTCTTCGTGCAGCGTTGGTTTCTTTTTTGAGTCGTTTACTGCGTACACATCCTGAAAGTTGTGTGTGTCTGCAGCAAGCGCGTGTATGTGTACCTATGGACCCGCGCACGTGTGTGTGGGGGGAGCAGTAGTGTAGTGGTTAGCGCGCTGCGCTATGAACCTGGCGACCCGAGTTTGATTTTTGCTCACGGCCACCAGCGGTGACGATTATTCAAACCGGTCCTGGGCCTCCCCTAGGTCGACTCAGCCTCAAACGAGTAACTGGTGTGGTGTGTGAACATCGCCACTGGGGAGCCAAAGGCGGCCGGGCGTCGTGAATCCAAGTCCCGGGCGAAGCCGGGTAGTAAAGCTAGTACTGTATATGCCAATGTTCCACATTCTTTAAAATGACAAAAGTAAATGAGCAAATGGAATGGAATTACATACATTGTGTGTATATTAGAAAGCGCCTATTATCCGCCGGTCCAATGTATCCGCGACTCTTATATTCTGCAGCAGCTGTAGGAGAGCGAAAACGCTATCATTTGTGAATCTGCGACTTTTCCCATAAGTGATTGGGGAATGATATCCTATCATAATAAATTTCGCATTTAAGCAGGTTCATGGCAGTAAATGTAAATGACCAATCAGTTTAAAAGACAAAGCATATATTATCGGGTTTTTTTTGTTTGGATTCTGACCACATTGTGGTTAATGCAGACGTGATTCCTTGTAAAAGGTTTCAGTTTGGTGTTTTAACATCTTAACACCTGTTTTGTTGCCAGAAAAAAATGGGAAAACCTATTTTCAGTAAATGTTCTGTTATTTGTTGGTTATCCCAGATTTTCTTTAATTCAACAAAATGCCGTGTGAATAAAGCAAGTGCATGGGTACTTGCTTTGATCACACCGGACGAGACAACACGGACACACAAAGACATGAATACAGTCAAAGAGACCCAGAAACAGAGAGACATGGAGATACTTATAGTCAAGAAACACAGACAACGAAAACATACGTACATAGACATGAAGCAACAGAGAAACGTAGACAGACAAAAGAGATGCACTGCAAAAATATTCGTCACGTGAACCTTATGGCGGCACCCCGGGGTACCAAATAATACAAAATAGCCGAGGCAATTAAATATTTTATTTCTGGGACACTATTTTTTCCAGGGGTGTACTTAACTCCGCGACTGGGGTACAAATCAATCCGAACTCAGTGCTACTCCGCGATGTCGAAACGCAGCGAGGACGATTGCGCTGAAACCCTGAACGCTCGTACGCACCGTGGCGGTGCATCGTGTACAGCTCGTCGAGATGAGGCGATTGCCGCATCGCCGACCATCAACAGACTAAAAATGACTGCATCATGGACATTATGTGAGAGCCGGGGTACTATGGTGCCCCGGGGTACCGCCACAATGTTCACGTGACAAACGGATGGGTTTTTTTGAACTCTCAGAACCTGAATATAGCAACAGTTATTGCAGAACCAATTTCTTACATGATTGGTGATGACTGCGACTATCAACTCACCACACTTGAGAACCAGATTTATTCACAGGCGGCTGCCCTGTTCCAAACTCAAGGACCTCTATAGAGTCAGCTCAGTGCCCTGACCTTGAGCCAACGGCGGAAATAAATGTATGTGCTATAAAATGGTTTATAAAACTGCTTGACTAACAATGTACACTCTCTGTTGAAATATCCAGTGCTGCTCCACTGAGGTGGGATCTTTTCACAATTCACACTCACCTTGGTCACAGTTGGTGCCCGTCCATCCACGAGCACACTGACAGGAAAAGGCATTATCCAGGTTCTGGCACGTCCCATTGTTTTTACAAGGTTTGCTTAGACATTCATTGATATCTGTACAAAACATAGAGAAATGATAAATACTGCATTTTTATGATATGTTTATATTGACGCATGTTTAAAAGAACCTGATTCAAGAGGAAAATGTATCAAGATATACAGTATTGTTTTCAATAATATACTGTACTGCACAATAATTGCATGGTATGGAATGACGAATAATCATACTTAAAAAAACCATTGGAACACTACTCTGAAATAAATTATTTTATGATGCTGCATTAGAAGTGGGATACACGTACAATTAACAAAAACATCCAACACACTCGTCAATAACAACATAAATTAAGAAGAATTGTCTTGCATTCCTTCCACTAATTTAGTGTGAGCACAGAAGGGGTAGGTGGAGGAGAGAGGGGGGTGCATGTTCTAATGCAAAATAGCTGCACATTTTTTTTGGAACGAAATTGAAATTCAAATAATGAAACCCGAATCATTTGCCTGTTGTGTTTGGTCGTGTTGTTACATACGTGAATAGCTATATATGAATCATGTTCAGTGGACTATATTTATTGTCGAGCACAATTGGGCTCTGTGATTTGTGAAATATGCCTTTGTGTCTCAAGGATGGACATATGTGCTACGTTACGCTAATGTATTTTCCAGAATATAAAATGTACATGTCGCATTTGTAGGTTTATTTAATTATTCAGTCCAGTGCAATAATATTTGTAAATTTTGTTTATTCATTATTATTTAAAAAATGTATTTACGAGAAATGTAATTCACATATAAGGGTAAATGTTAATAATGAACAGCTCAATAACGCAGACGTAGTGTAGGCGTTTGCCTACGAGGCGGCTTTGTTTGGTCAAATAGCAACAGCTGAGAATTGAAGAATCAATTGCCTTTCAAAAATGTTTGTATAGTGTGGACCGGTTTTGTAAATATTGACATGAAAATCAGTGAGCTAAATGGAATTGACTGAAAAATGCATTCATTGAATACATTCCATAAAAGCTGTGAAACCTGCTTTATCCAACACGTAATGCAGTTTACAGTAGCGCACTCACATACCTACACATCCGTGAATGTTAGTGGAGTTCACTTCAAACCCGGGGAAGCAAGAACAAATGTAGCTTCCAACAGTGTTGACACAGTCTTGCTCACACCGTTGAGGCAGTGTCGCACATTCATTGATGTCTACATAATAAGTGAAAAACAATGAGGGAGCATTTACATATAAAATCAAAGTAATAATGGCACACGAGTTTTATACACATTCACTTTCTCAGGTCAACTGAGGTAGTGATTTTAAAAATGTATTATAAAGCAAAGAACCGATAGCAAAATAAAAAAGTGGGTTAACTTAGTAAAACATATTACAAGCTATCTTACTTGCAAAATCATTGAAGTTGGACATTTTTGAAAGTCTTGTTTGCTAGGGTATTCCATACAATTAGACATGTAAAGCAACGTGTTTTGACATCGGTTTAAACAGTTATCTTTCTGTTTTTTTTAATTCGTATTCATCCGGACAGCTGTCAAACATTTGAGGTTACTTAAATACTATAGCCCTACATGGTTGGACAAAAGCTAATTTATGTTCAACAACCACAACAATAGTCAACATGTATAGCATTGAACCTTGCTCTCTGTTTTGTAAGAGATGTTAAACTTAATAATCTCTTGCGCTCCTGGCATTTCATAACAGTGGTTGTCCTACTGTTTTTTTTTGGTAAAGTCACGTAGATAAAACAAAATAAAAAAGAAAACAACTAAATCAAATCACGACGTTTCGGAGGCAACACAAGCTTCCGTCTTCAGGTGGAACAGTCACAGCAAGAGAGCTGCATCAAGTGGTGAGCTCTGAGACCCTCGAGCTTATATACAGGTTAAGGTGGGGGGGGGGGGGGGGAGGAGCCAAGCAGGGAACGACGACGAGGCTAAGTTAATCCGTCTTTTGTTATGTTGAGGGTTCGGGGGAAGCGGTGGTTCACTGCACGGGGGCAATAAAAAATGGTAAAAAAAAGGCTGTGCGCTTATAAGGTAGCTGAAGTTTTGACTTGGTTTATGACATCTTTCCAGTGGTTGCTTAATTTAAAACCATCCTCTCGGTTGAAGTTGTGTCTATGTTTGTAGATCTGGATTCATTGCCCCCGTGCAGTGAACCACCGCTTCCCCCGAACCCTCAACATAACAAAAGACGGATTAACTTAGCCTTGTCGGCGTTCCCTGCTTGGCTCCTCCCCCCCCCACCTTAAACTGTATATAAGCTCGAGGGTCTCAGAGCTCACCACTTGATGCAGCTCCCTTGCTGTGACTTCCACCTGAAGACGGAAGCTTGTGTTGCCTCCGAAACATCGTGATTTGATTTAGTTGTTTTCTTTTATTTTTATTTTGTTTTATCTACGTGACTTTACCGAAGAAAACAAAGAGTATGAATCCTTGCAGTCACGAAAGCTTCAAATCTAGAAGTGGTTGTCCTGCTTTGCACCAATCACGGAATGTTTTCAGTTCAGTTTTCATTCATTAGGTATAACCCTGTGAGCCATGTGGCTCTTAACTCGGGTGCAACCGCAACAAACTAAAACATGAACAAGAGACATCTTAAAGTGACTACACGCAACAGAAAAATCCAGAAAAAATAGCAACGTCTTCCAGAAAAAATACCGTATTTCAACGCTGTGTGCAAAAATCCCAGCGGGATGCAAGTCAAACAATAACAACCATAAGATAATTTAGATTAAAGTTATCAGGCTAACTCTGTACTACAACAAACAAACATGGCTAAACCAAAACGTTTTAAAAATCACCAAAATAGAGCTATAAAAACAATCATAGGAACTGTGATTTAAATTTAACAATAAACGATATACATAACATGTACGACCAAACTTTGCAGCCATAGCTGGCTGCATGAGTCACTCCATAACAGCAGGAGTATCAGTATCAAAAAATGGCAATACACCTTTAAAGATCAGCACAATATAATAAAAACTCAAGATCATACTTTGCAGCGGTCATCCGGAACGATACATTTGATTTCAGGCCATTCTGAATAGCAGTGGCAGCTAGGGGTGTACAACTCCTCTAGAGCAGTTTTGAGTGAAGATCTCATAGGTAGTGATTCAAGTTGCAGTTTATTGGCGATAGCATTCCAGACCCTGGGGGCATCAATAGAAAAGGCCCTTCCTCCAGTATTTGTACGGCAATAAGGAATGTGAAGCTGGTAAATGAGCGAAGACCTTAGGTCACATTTGTTCTTCGAAACAGTGAGGAGATCCAGCAGGTAGTCTGCTGATTTTTTTCTAATATGAACACCCCACACCTCAAGACCCCCACCTCCAATCAGCATGGTTGACTATGTATGGTGCGAAATAAGTTCAACATACGCTGTACATATATACAAGATGGATACCACCTTGCACTTATTTGAGTAGGAGGTGAAACCAATTAACTTTGTATGATGCGAAGACATGTGTGTGCCACACAACATGTATTTGCATTATACAAATACAAATTCAGTTCGGAATACAGTTAACCGCGACAAAGTATAATTGTAAATGGATTGGCATCTCCTGTCTGCTATGCCGGTCAGCCTTGAAATGTATTGCTCATGCTGCTGCTGGTGAAAGGGCATACACGAGAGGAAGCACTAGAAAACACTCTCAAGGATATTTGGCCTACTCTTCCATACCGGCTCGACATTTTAGAAATTATGGGAGTACCCACACTTTAACTCCACCACATGTGATCTGCTGATCGACGAACTGTGGTGTATCCATTTATACTGCTGGATGGACAGGGGTGGGGATACTTAATAAACTTGCCCTGATGTTTAGACTGCTGTGCCAGGAGATTGAACCGGCAATACACGTGACGCGATAAAAAAAAAATTGCCTTGAAATGTGTGGTTTTGGCATTTAACATGTTTAGGTTTATGGTAGTTTTATGGAGGATGAACGAAAATGTGGCTGTTTGGATTGCCCCACGGATTACAGGGATTTACAGATTATTGGATTTTCGTTGTATATTTAATGTTTGTATATGTAACTTTTCTGATTATTTTATATCATGTTCAATATGGAGCTGGCATTTTTACAGTCTTGTTAATTTTTCGAAAAAAAATCACGATATGTTTTTTATTCGAATTCTCTTTTTAAAAACATTATCCACGTCCCGCTTACATTTTGATGATTTCTTAACTGGTGAACTAAACTTTAAATATCTGTGCTAAACACACCGGTATAAGATTGCAGGCTCTTTATCAAGTACAGCCATGTGTACAGATATGTTAATATTAAACTAATTTTTTTTTACCAGGTAACGCCCACTGAGCTATATAGCTCTTCTTCAGAAGCGACCTGGCAACAAATCATGTGTACATTTAGAGCTGCCAAATACTCGAAACGCATGTTTCTAAATATAGAGGAAAAAACCGGAGGACCCCGTGAAAAATCCATGCGACCACAGGGACAATACGGAAAGTCCATATATACAGGCCTCAGGGTTGGGTTCGAACCCACGACCTTCTCTAAACCAGGCAAGGGAGGTAACATCTCGCCACTGTGGCACACCTCATATGATACAGGATTTCAATGACTTCACTAGGCTTTGCAAAACGTTTAAAAAAGGTTACGTAAGAGCATTTCCTCGTGCAATATTTACCGAAGCAGTTGGGTTGACCTTCATGTAGTTCGAATCCTGTATTGCATTGGCAGGTGGAGTTTTTTGTGCTGGGATCAATGAAGCACATTCCATTGGTGCAAGGCAGAGAACAGGGTGTGTTAGCTGCAGTAAAAATGAAACAAGAATACATACACAATTAAACATTTACATCATACAAGTCTATAAATCCTGTTTTACCTATAAACTTAAGTTCATGAAGCAAATTGAAATGTAAAATTTATGTTTGTGCAATACAATATTCACATTAGGCTTCCTAGCATTACTTTTATTTGACATCCTCATTCTTGTACCCTTCTACTTTTGTACGATATACTGGAAATAAGCTACAGGGCCCGAGTAATGTACCTATTATGGCTATTATTCATTCTGCCACTTTTGGTGGAGTGAGGGCCATTACATGAGAAAAATTTCTGTCATTCCACCATTTGAAATTTATTTATGATGGATACTTTAGAGAAATGCACCTGTATCTGCCACTAATGCATTCCACAATTGCAGAATGATCCAAAGTGGGCTTGGTTGGGTTGGGGTAATGGTGGAAGCAATTATGGCATAAAGTTTCTGCTTCTATGTGTAAACTCTGCATCGTTGTGTGGAATGATGTAATTCTCACTCGGTGAAAATGGGTTAAGCCCATTCTCTATAAAGTCGAGTGCAACTGTCGCTATATAATTCCGTGGAATATGGATAGCAAGATTATTATATAAAGAAGGCGTGTGATGTAATGGTGGATTAAAAATTTGTGCAGTACCTGGAGTAGTTGTTGTGGTAGAAATCTTAGTGGTCGGAGATGTGATTGGTGATGTTGACAATGGAGACGTTGTTGCTGCTGTTGAGACAGATTCAGTGCTCGAAGTTGTTGATTTTGAGGTAATGGTGGATGGAGAAATAGTTGTAGTGTCTGAAATAGGTGTTGTGGAAGAAAACGTTGCAGTCGGAGATGTGAACGGTTTTGTTGACAATGGAGACGTTGTTGCTGCTGTTGATACAGATTGAGTGCTTGAAGTTGTCGATCCTGAGGTAATGGTAGATGGGGAAAAAGTTGTAGTGTCTGACATAGGTGTTGTGAAAGAAAACGTTGTAGTAGGAGATGTGAATGCTGTGGTTGACAATGGAGACGTTGCTGCCGTTGAGCTAGATTCAGTGCTTGAAGTTGTCGATTCTGAGGTAATGGTGGATGGAGAAATAATTGTAGTGTCTGAAATAGCTGTTGTCGAAGAAAACGGTGATGTTCGTGATGTGAATAATGTTGTTGCCAATGGAGAAGTTGCACCTGATGTTGACATCGTTTCTATATTGGAAGTTCTTGCAGTCGCTGATGTAAATGGTGTTGATGACAATGGAGAAGTTGCTGCTGCTGTTGAGACAGATTCAGTGCTCGAAGTTGTCGCTTCTGAGGTAATGGTGGATGGAGAAATAGTTGTAGTGTCTGAAATAGGTGTTGTTGAAGACAACGGTGATGTTGGTGATATGAATGATGTTGTTGACAATGGAGATGTTGCTGCTGTTGAAATCGTTTCAGTACTTGAAGTTGTTGCTTCTGAGGTAATGGTGGATGGAGAACTAGTTGTAGTGTCTGAAATAGGTGTTGTGGAAGAAAACGTTGCAGTCGGAGATGTGAATGGTGTGGTTGACAATGGAGACGTTGTTGCTGTTGTTGAGACAGATTCAGTGCTCGAAGTTGTCGATTCTGAGGTAATTGTGGATGGTGAAACAGTTGTAGTGTCTGACATAGGTGTTGTGGAAGAAAACGTTGTAGTAGGAGATGTGAATGGTGTTGTTGACAATGGAGATGTCGCTCCTGATGTTGCCACCGTTAGTGTACTGGAAGTTGTTGCAATCGCTGATGTAAATGGTGTTGTTGATAGTGGAGAAGTTGCTGCTGTTGAGACAGATTCAGTGCTTGAAGTTGTAGATTCTGAGGTAATGGTGGATGGAGAAATGGTTGTAGTGTCTGTCGTAGGTGTTGTCGAAGAAAACGGTGATGTTGGTGATGTGAATAATGTTGTTGACAATGGAGATGTTGCGGCTGTTGAAATCGTTTCAATACTTGAAGTTGTTGCTTCTGAGGTAATGGTGGATATGGAAATCGTTGCAGTGTCTGCCGTAGGTGTTGTCGAAGAAAACGGCGCTGTTGGTGATGTTATTGATGTTGTCGACAATGGAGATGTCGCTCCTGATGTTGCCACTGTTAGTATACTGGAAGTTGTTGAAGTCGCTGATGTAAATAGTGTTGTTGACAATGGAGAAGTTGCTGCTGCTGAGACAGATTCAGTGCTTGAACTAGTCGATTCTGAGGTAATGGTGGATGGATAAATAATTGTAGTGTCTGAAATAGCTGTTGTCGAAGAAAACCGTGATGTTGGTGATGTGAATAATGTTGTTGACAATGGAGGAGTTGCACCTGATGTTGACATCGTTTCTATATTGGAAGTTCTTGCAGTCGCTGATGTAAATGGTGTTGATGACAATGGAGAAGTTGTTGCTGCTGTTGAGACAGATTCAGTGCTTGAAGTTGTCGATTCTGAGGTAATGGTGGATGGAGAAATAGTTGTAGTGTCTGAAATAGGTGTGGTGGAAGAAAACGTTGCAGTCGGAGATGTGAATGATGTTGTTGACAATGGAGACGTTGTTGCTGTTGTTGAGACAAATTCAGTGCTCGAAGTTGTCGATTCTGAGGTAATTGTGGATGGTGAAACAGTTGTAGTGTCTGACATAGGTGTTGTAGAAGAAAACGTTGTAGTAGGAGATGTGAATGGTGTTGTTGACAATGGAGATGTCGCTCCTGATGTTGCCACCGTTAGTGTACTGGAAGTTGTTGCAGTCGCTGATGTAAATGGTGTTGTTGATAGTGGAGAAGTTGCTCCTGTTGAGACAGTTTCAGTGCTTGAAGTTGTCGATTCTGAGGTAATGGTGGATGGAGAAATAGTTGTAGTGTCTGAAATAGGTGTGGTGGAAGACAACAGTGATGTTGGTGATGTGAATGATGTTGTTGACAATGGAGATGTTGCGGCTGTTGAAATCGTTTCAGTATTTGAAGTTGTTGCTTCTGAGGTAACGGTGGATGTGGAAATCGTTGCAGTGTCTGCCGTAGGTGTTGTCGAAGAAAACGGCGCTGTTGGTGATGTCATTGATGTTGTTGACAATGGAGTAGTTGCACCTGATGTTGACATCGTTTCTATATTGGAAGTTCTTGCAGTCGCTGATGTAAATGGTGTTGATGACATTGGAGAAGTTGCTGCTGCTGTTGAGACAGATTCAGTGCTCGAAGTTGTCGATTCTGAGGTAATGGTGGATGGAGAAATAATTGTAGTGTCTGAAATAGCTGTTGTCGAAGAAAACCGTGATGTTGGTGATGTGAATAATGTTGTTGACAATGGAGAAGTTGCACCTGATGTTGACATCGTTTCTATATTGGAAGTTCTTGCAGTCGCTGATGTAAATGGTGTTGATGACAATGGAGAAGTTGTTGCTGCTGTTGAGACAGATTCAGTGCTTGAAGTTGTCGATTCTGAGGTAATGGTGGATGGAGAAATAGTTGTAGTGTCTGCCGTAGGTGTTGTTGAAGACAACGGTGATGTTGGTGATATGAATGATGTTGTTGACAATGGAGATGTTGCTGCTGTTGAAATCGTTTCAGTACTTGAAGTTGTAGCTTCTGAGGTAATGGTGGATGGAGAAATAGTTGTAGTGTCTGAAATAGGTGTGGTGGAAGAAAACGTTGCAGTCGGAGATGTGAATGGTGTTGTTGACAATGGAGACGTTGTTGCTGTTGTTGAGACAGATTCAGTGCTCGAAGTTGTCGATTCTGAGGTAATTGTGGATGGTGAAACAGTTGTAGTGTCTGACATAGGTGTTGTGGAAGAAAACGTTGCAGTCGGAGATGTGAATGGTGTTGTTGACAATGGAGACGTTGTTGCTGTTGTTGAGACAGATTCAGTGCTCGAAGTTGTCGATTCTGAGGTAATTGTGGATGGTGAAACAGTTGTAGTGTCTGACATAGGTGTTGTGGAAGAAAACGTTGTAGTAGGAGATGTGAATGGTGTTGTTGACAATGGAGATGTCGCTCCTGATGTTGCCACCGTTAGTGTACTGGAAGTTGTGGCAGTCGCTGATGTAAATGGTGTTGTTGATAGTGGAGAAGTTGCTGCTGTTGAGACAGTTTCAGTGCTTGAAGTTGTCGATTCTGAGGTAATGGTGGATGGAGAAATAGTTGTAGTGTCTGAAATAGTTGTTGTTGCAGACAACGGTGATGTTGGTGATATGAATGATGTTGTTGACAATGGAGAAGTTGCTGCTGTTGAGACAGTTTCAGTGCTTGAAGTTGTCGATTCTGAGGTAATGGTGGATGGAGAAATAGTTGTAGTGTCTGAAATAGGTGTGGTGGAAGACAACAGTGATGTTGGTGATGTGAATGATGTTGTTGACAATGGAGATGTTGCGGCTGTTGAAATCGTTTCAGTATTTGAAGTTGTTGCTTCTGAGGTAACGGTGGATGTGGAAATCGTTGCAGTGTCTGCCGTAGTTGTTGTCGAAGAAAACGGCGCTGTTGGTGATGTCATTGATGTTGTTGACAATGGAGAAGTTGCACCTGATGTTGCCACCGTTAGTATACTGGAAGTTGTTGCAGTCGCTGATGTAAATGGTGTTGATGACAATGGAGAAGTTGTTGCTGCTGTTGAGACGGATCCAGTGCTTGAAGTTGTCGATTCTGAGGTAATGGTGGATGGAGAAATAGTTGTAGTGTCTGAAATAGTTGTTGTCGAAGAAAACGGTGATGTTGGTGATATGAATGATGTTGTTAACAATGGAGATGTTGCTGCTGTTGAAATCGTTTCAGTACTTGAAGTTGTAGCTTCTGAGGTAATGGTGGATGGAGAAATAGTTGTAGTGTCTGAAATAGGTGTGGTGGAAGAAAACGTTGCAGTCGGAGATGTGAATGGTGTTGTTGACAATGGAGATGTCGCTCCTGATGTTGCCACCGTTAGTGTACTGGAAGTTGTGGCAGTCGCTGATGTAAATGGTGTTGTTGATAGTGGAGAAGTTGCTGCTGTTGAGACAGTTTCAGTGCTTGAAGTTGTCGATTCTGAGGTAATGGTGGATGGAGAAATAGTTGTAGTGTCTGAAATAGGTGTGGTGGAAGACAACAGTGATGTTGGTGATGTGAATGATGTTGTTGACAATGGAGATGTTGCGGCTGTTGAAATCGTTTCAGTATTTGAAGTTGTTGCTTCTGAGGTAACGGTGGATGTGGAAATCGTTGCAGTGTCTGCCGTAGTTGTTGTCGAAGAAAACGGCGCTGTTGGTGATGTCATTGATGTTGTTGACAATGGAGAAGTTGCACCTGATGTTGCCACCGTTAGTATACTGGAAGTTGTTGCAGTCGCTGATGTAAATGGTGTTGATGACAATGGAGAAGTTGTTGCTGCTGTTGAGACGGATTCAGTGCTTGAAGTTGTCGATTCTGAGGTAATGGTGGATGGAGAAATAGTTGTAGTGTCTGAAATAGTTGTTGTCGAAGAAAACGGTGATGTTGGTGATATGAATGATGTTGTTAACAATGGAGATGTTGCTGCTGTTGAAATCGTTTCAGTACTTGAAGTTGTAGCTTCTGAGGTAATGGTGGATGGAGAAATAGTTGTAGTGTCTGAAATAGGTGTGGTGGAAGAAAACGTTGCAGTCGGAGATGTGAATGGTGTTGTTGACAATGGAGATGTCGCTCCTGATGTTGCCACCGTTAGTGTACTGGAAGTTGTTGCAGTCGCTGATGTGAATGGTGTTGTTGATAGTGGAGAAGTTGCTCCTGTTGAGACAGTTTCAGTGCTTGAAATTGTCGATTCTGAGGTAATGGTGGATGGAGAAATAGTTGTAGTGTCTGCCGTAGGTGTTGTCGAAGAAAACGGTGATGTTGGTGATGTGAATAATGTTGTTGACAATGGAGATGTTGCGGCTGTTGAAATCGTTTCAATACTTGAAGTTGTTGCTTCTGAGGTAATGGTGGATGTGGAAATCGTTGCAGTGTCTGCCGTAGGTGTTGTCGAAGAAAACGGCGCTGTTGGTGATGTTGTCGACAATGGAGATGTCGCTCCTGATGTTGCCACCGTTAGTATATTGGAAGTTGTTGAAGTAGCTGATGTAAATGGTGTTGATGACATTGGAGAAGTTGCTGCTGCTGTTGAGACAGATTCAGTGCTCGAAGTTGTCGATTCTGAGGTAATGGTGGATGGAGAAATAATTGTAGTGTCTGAAATAGCTGTTGTCGAAGAAAACCGTGATGTTGGTGATGTGAATAATGTTGTTGACAATGGAGAAGTTGCACCTGATGTTGACATCGTTTCTATATTGGAAGTTCTTGCAGTCGCTGATGTAAATGGTGT